AATTCAAATATTTAAAACTTTAATAACCGGAAATCTTTTAGAATTTCAGGTTCCAAATATTCACAACGAGAAAAACTGAAACGGTCGCGAATGTTTAAAACATACAGGTTATAAAAAACTTTTTTGACATGAACAATTAAAATTTTTTAAATTTCACAATTTCAGAAACTTCATTTATAACACATGATTTAATATAAATTAGTTCGTGATTTTAACAAACTGTGAATTTACAATTTACGAAGAGTAGTTATTTTGGATTCAAATCCAAAAACCCAAAAGCTGAAAAACCAAAAAACTGAAGAAAAATCAAAATTTCAGTTTTTTTGTGGTGCAAAAGAACATTACATATTAAATGATCGTATCTCTATACAGCGAAAATTATCTTAAAATCATATAAAAACAATTGTTAAAAAAATTATATTTCGTACACTGATTTCTAAAATTTTTCAAATTTACTGTCACTGAATTTTTAAATGAGATATTTTATTGTTTACCTTTAGCCAATTTTTCATTTTTCTGCTTCATCATTTTCATTTTTCAATTTCTTAGTTTTTCGATTTTACAATTTTTTGATTCTTGAATTTTTAGATTTTTACTTTTTCAAAAAATTAGAAAATCGTCAAATTAAAAAAATCGAAACAATGAAAACTTCAAAAGTGGAAAAATCGAATACGTGAAAAAAGAAAAATCGAACAATTCAGAAACCAAAACAATGTGAAATTGCAAAATTGCAAACCACGAAAATGAAAAATCCAAAAATTACACACCAAGAAACAGAAACACTGAAAAATTGAAAAAACGAAAAATTAAAAAACTGAAAAACTTGAAAATTAAAAAATGAAAAAACGGAAAAAGGCAAAAGTTGAAAAATTAACAGAAACGACTTTTTTATTTTTTGTTTACTTTAACAAATATCTCGCTTTTCAAATTTGATTTTTTTTTTGTGATGCAAAAAAATATTACTGCTAGATGTTAAAGAACCTTTTAAATTTTTCAATATTTAGATATTCTAATTTTTTATGTTTGTTTTTGATTTTAGGATTTTCAATTGTTTAATATTTTTTGAAACGAAAAATGCAAAAATCGAAAAATCCGAAAGTTCAAAAACCAAAAACTGAAGAAACTGAAAAATCAAAGTATTCAAAAATCACAAAATTGTAAAATCGTAAAACTAAAAATTGAAAGAAAAATCGACTTTTATATTTATTGAGAGTTCCAATATTTTTCGTATTTTTCTGTTATTGAATTTTTCAATTATTAGATATTTTAATTTTTCATTTTAGCCAATTTTTCATTTTTCTGTTTCTTCAGTTTTTATTTATCATAGTGTCAGTTTTTCCCGTTTAAAATTTTTCGATTTATGAATTTTTAGATTTTTCAGTTTGTCGATGTTTAACTTTTCGATTTTTTTTTGTTTCGAAAAATTACAAAATCGTCAAATTAAAGAAACGAGAGATGCAAAAATCAAAACATTGAAAACTTCAAAAGTTGAAAAATCGAATAACTGAAAAAACGAAAAATTGAACGATTGAAAAATCAGAACATGAAAAATTGAACAATTCAGAAACCAAAAAAATGTGAAATCTAAAAATTGCACATCGAGAAACTGAAAAATCGACAAATACGAATTAAGAAACAGAAATATGTAGTTCAAAATTGAAAAACCGAAAAATTTATAGAAACGAGCTTTTTTCTTCAATTTTTTTAATATTCTTATTTTTCGTTTTTTCCAATTTTTTATTTTTGTTTCCTAATTTTTCATTTTTCAATTGTCAGACTTTTGAGTATCCCAATTTTTATTTTTTTGTTCAAAAATTGCAAAATCGTAAAATTAAAGAAACAAAAAATTCAAAAATCAAAAACTGAAAATTTGAAAAATTGAAAAAACGAAACATCTAAAAATCAAACATTGAAAAATCCAAAAATTAAAATCGGGAAACTGAAAAATTTAAAAATTCAGAAATCAAAAAAATGTAAAATCAAAAAATTGCTAACCGCAAAAAAATTACGAACCAAGAAACAGAAACACTGAAAAACTGAAAAAAAAAAAAACGAAAAATGAAGAGATTGAAAAAGTCAAAAATTGAAAAATTAACAAGTTTTATATTTTTTGTTTACTTTATCCAATATTTCGCTGTTCAAAATTCCCGTTTTCTTCCTGATGCAAAAAAATATTAAATGATCTTAAAATTATATAAACACAAATATACAAAAAAAAAATACTTCATACATTCATTATAACATCAAAAATTCTTTGATTTTTCAGCTTTTGAATTTTTCAATTTTTAGATATTGTAATTTTTCGTTTTCAATTTTTTCATTTTTGTTTCTTCATTCTCAACTTTTGGATTTCTGATTTTCCGGTCTGGAGTTTTCCAACTTTTCGATATTTGAATTTTCAGATTTTCTTTCTCCGATTTTTGGGTTTTTTCAAAAATTACAAAATCGTAAAACTGATAAAAACGAAAAATGCAAAAATCGAAAAATTGAACAAAAAATCGAAAAATCAAAAAAATCAGAAACTCAAAAATCCAAAAAATGTAAAATGGAAAAATTTCAAACCGCAAAAATTAAAAATTCAAAAATTACACACTAAGAAACAAACACCAAAAATAAAAAATTCAAAAACGGAACAAGTCAAAATTAACAGAAATAAGTTTATTTTTTGTTTACCTTATCCAATATTTCGCTTTTCAAAATTTCTGCTTTTTCATGATGCAAAAAAAAATAGATATTAAATAATCGTCTGACTGTAAAATGAAAGTGATCTTAAAATCATATAAGCACAATTATAAAAAAAAAAATACTTCATACATTCATTACGAATTCCAAAATTCTTCGATTTTTCAGCTTTTGAATTTTTAAATTTTCAGATATTTTTATTTTTCGTTTTCTTTAATTTTTACATTTTTGTTTCTTCATTTGTAATTTTTGGATTTTTGATTTTCAGGTCTGCAATTTTCCAATTTTTCGATTTTTGAATTTTCAGATTTCTTTTTTCGATTTCTGGGTTTTTTGAAAAATTACAAAATCGTAAAACTGATAAAACCGAAAAATGCAAAAATCGAAAAATTGAAGAAACAAAAAATCGAAAAAATCAAAAAGTCAAACTGAAAAATCCAAAAAATGTAAAATGAAAAAACTGCAAAACGCAAAAATGAAAAATCCAAAAATTACAAACTGAGGGACAGAAACACTGGAAAACTGAAAAACGAAAAATTAAAAAACTGAAAAACCTAAAAATTAAAAAATGGGAAAACAGAACAACTCAAAAGTTGGAAAATTAACAGAAGCGAGTTTTTTATATTTTGTTTACTTTATCCAATATTTCGCTTTCAAAATTTCTGTTTTTTCGTGATGCAAAAAAATATTAGATATTAAATAATCGTGCGACTGTAAATTAAAATGTTTTAATTTTTCAATTTTTCGATATTTTGATTTTTCGTTTCTTAGATTTTTTTCATTTTTGCTTCTTCATTTTTAATTTTTGGGTTTCTGATTGTCCAGTCTGCAATTTTATCAACTTTCCGATTTTTGAATTCTCAAATTTTTTCTTCTTAGATTTTTGGGTTTTTGAAAAATAAAAAAAAATTATCGTAAAACAGATAAAAACGAACAATGCAAAAATCGGGAAACTGAAAAATCTAAAAATTCAGATATCAAAAAAACTGGAAATTCAAAAAATTGCAAACCGCAAAAATGAAAAATCCAAAAATTACAAACTAAGAAACAGAAATTGAAAAACTGAAAAAATTAAAAAATGGAAAAACGGAACTCAAAAGTTGAAAAATTAACACAAAAATTTTTTATTTTTTGTTTACTTAATCCAATATTCCGCTTTTCAAAATTTGTTTTTTTGTCGTGAAGCAAAAAAAAATAATAAAATCATATAAACACAATTATAAAAATTTTTAAAAATTTTAATTTTTCGTTTTTTCCAATTTTTTCACTTTGTTTTTCTTCACTTTTAATTTTTAGATTTCTCCCGTTCCGGTCTGCAATTTTCCAATTTTTCGATTTTCGAATTTCAGATTTTTCCTTCGATTTTTAACTTAAAGAAACAAAAAATCGAAGTCAAAAAATCGAGAAACTGAAAAATCGAAAAATTAAAAATTAAGAAAACAGAAAAATCGAAAAAAAAGGAAAAATTCAAATCGAAAAATAATAATGGAAACAGTGAAAAATTCAAAAGTTGAAAAATTGACGAGTTTTCTTTTAATTTTTCGTTTACTTAATCAATATTTTGCTTTTTAAAGTTTCACTCAAGAACGAAAATGATCTTAAAATGACGTAAACACAATTATTTAAGAAATATACTTTATAACGACATTCATAAATTGCTAAAATTTTTGTACGACAAAACAAGAAAAAAAAAATAAAAAAAAGTAACGTAAATACTGGAATGTGTATAATAATATATATAAATATAACGGAAACTTAAAACGTATTTTGACGTTAAAAGCAAATAAATTAAATATTTTGGAACTTTTTTCAAATTTTATACGATCCCCAATGTTATAAACAATTTCTATATATTAACTTCATGTTTATAATTCTTCAAAATTTTTGACAAATATTATTTTGGGTTTTTTTTTAAATATTTATTCTACGACGATCTTTACAAAAATTATGTATTTGAACAAAAAATAGTTGTTTTAATTGTAAATTCTTTCAAAATAGTTCATCATAAACCACACTTTCGTTTTAATACATTTTGTAGACAGACTTAATACTGTGAAATCACAGGACGTAATCGTTGTCTAACGCATTATTAAATATAGTGCTTGTCAACGAAACCGATAACTCGGTCTTCAGAGCATACGATTCAAAAAACCAATTTTTTCGTATTAAAAAACAATATAATATACTAGCGTTGCAACAAACATTTTTCGCTTCGTTTCTCCGGAAATGCCCGCAACTTTATCTCCACCCGAACCCGACCGCTGCCGCCGAACTGGATCTGTTCCTCTTTAAATACGATGTAAATAAAAATAAATCTATAACTTACAAATCTTAGGTAACAACAGCTTTGGTACTAAAATAAGTTTTTAAATTTAGATACATCAACAGCAACATAACAATGGTTATTCTCTCATTAAAGCAATCACTGAACCCATGAAGCCGGTACCCACAACGGTTCAGTTTCTACCCGATTAGCAGCAGTTAGAAGTTGGCTAAAGGCTAGCGCTAAGTCGTCGTTTACGATCACCTCGTCGAAGAAGTGCTCGTAAAGAAACTCGATGCGGTTGGCTGATTTCATAATATCGTTGAACTCTTCCTCCTGAAAAGAAACTTAGTCAGAAACGGACTCACGCAAATTCATAATCGAAAAACGGCTTGGACGCATACGTACTGTAAAGCCTCTGGAATTATTTACATCGAAGGTGGACCTCGCATGAACGGCGTTTCTGGTTTCTTTCAATCTGTCTAAAGGCGGCGGTTTTATATAGATTATGTAAGGTTTTAGTTGTGGAGTTCTTAACATTTTAAGAGCTTGGTAGTGAGGGTTTAAAATGCACACATGTCCAGAATTCACTATGGCTTTTACACTGTCTGCCGATGTTCCGTACAAGTTGCCTTTGTATTCGCCGAATTCTATAAACTTGCTGGCGTCTATGTCTTCTTCCATTTTTTCGCGCGGCACGAAAAAGTACTCTTTGCCGTTTACTTCGCCGGGTTTCATTTGTCTACTCGTAACTGCAACGCAAAAACGGGGGATTCACCCAAGTTATATATTTTTTTGTTATAAATTATACTAACATGGCGTTGGTGTTCTGTATTTATCCGGGTCAGTATCTATCAGTCGCCTCTTCAGCTCATTCCTGCCCACGCCCGGCGCCCCGATCAGGACGACCGGCCGGTAAATCCCCGGCCTCGGGTACAACTTGGCCACCTCTTCGTACGTCGCGATCTGCTCCCGATCGAAATCGTCGTTTTCTGCTGTGTCATACATAATCTTTTTAGTTTTAGGTTTGGATGCGCAACGGGGGGATTTCGGGGACTGACTGCAGGTTAACACAGGTAAAGCTGAAACAGAGCAAAGCCCTACGGCCACCAAATGGAATGTTAGTAAGGTATCGAAAAAAATATCGAATGAGTGAAACAGTGAACAGGCACAAGCTCGAGGGACAAGCAAAAGTTGCGCGGGTATTTACCGTCGTCGCCATCTTGCGACGTCTGCGTCCTCTCGTGGATGATGCGGCGCTCCTGCAAGGCGCGGCTGGGGATGAGGCCGGCGCGCATGTTGCGGTCGCCCTCGCGGCGGGCCTGCCACCTATAACGCAAAAAGGGGAATTTTTTTAAATGGGAACCCCAAAGGGAACGACAGTTTGAAGCGCCAACTTGGATTTGCTTCACCTATTCGGTACATATTTTAGCCACAAGGATACCAAAGAGCGTCAGTAGTTTAATTGGAGTCCAAATCAGGTACATGATTTAATTGTACTAAAGCAAGTTGATTTTGGCCCTTATTACCATAAACCATTATCAATTATCACAATCATCATCATAATAAATACTAATTTTTAGAGAAAATTATACTTCTTCACAATAATCTGAAAAATGGTTCATTTATTATATTTTAACTTTATCTTTAAAAATCGTATAAATTTCAGTCTTTCAAAGACGAAATTTTGAAATTGTGGAATGAAATTTTAATTCGTCAAAGGGTTGAAGTAACACAATACTAAAAGAATAAGTCAAAATTACAAACCAGGAAATGAAAAGTTTGAAGTAATAAATCAAAATTTTCAAATTATAAATCAAGGTCAAAATTTCGAAACCACTAAATTTCAGTGTAAAATATGTAAATTTCAAGTAAACTCGTGAATCAAAATGTCAAGATTTAAGTCAAAATTTCAAGAAAATAACACGAAATATTAAAAAATACAGAGTGGATAGTTGTAAGATAAATTAAACTTTGGGAAATTTGGAAATCTTAAGCAAAATTTTGACATACATATATATAAAAAAAAATCAACATAGTAAGTTGACACTTCGAATTAATCATTTTTAAATTTAAGAAATAATAAACTGAAATTTTTAAATACGATCAAAAAACAGCGAAAAATTAAATTTCGAAATTAAAAATTTTAAATTTTATTTTAACAAAAACAAAATCGCGAAATTGTGGAAAGAAATCTTAATATGTCAAAAGGTTGAAGTTCACAATACTGAAAGAAAAAGTCAAAGCAAAAATTAGGAATCCAAAAGTTTGAAGGAATAAATCAAAATTTTCAAGTTATAAATTTCGAGGCACAGAAATAAAAATGTCAAAATTTTATAACAATTAAATCGAAATTTTAGTGTAAAATACAAATATAAATTTCAAGTGAACTTGTGAATCAAAATGTCAAGATTTAAATCAAAATTTCAAAAAAAAAGAAACACAAAATTACGCGAAATATTAAGAAATAAACTTCCGATCTGCAAAAATTCAGAAAATAAATACAATAAACCGAACTTTGGGAAATTTGGAAATCATTAGTCAAAATTTTGACTTAATTAAAAAAAAATCAACAGTATATTGGACACTTCGAATTAAACATAACTAAAAACTTCGAGATAATAAATTGAAATTTCAAAATAGAGATAAAAAACAGCGCAAAATTAAATAAAAAATTTAGACAGTTGGTTAAATTTCGAAATAAACAGTTTAAATTTTGGTTTAAAAAAGACGAAATTCAGAAATTATAGAAAAAAGTTTAAAAAAAAATGTCAAAATTTCCAAACAACTAAATCCAAATTTTACTTTAAATTATATAAACTTGGAGTGAACTTGCCAAGATTTACGTCGAAATTAAAAAAAATTACACGAACTATTAAAAATTAAACTTCAATCTCATGATACTCGAATCTGTAAAAATTTAAAGCGAATAATTCTAAAATAAACGAAATTTGGAATTCATAACTCAATATTTTGACTTACTTAAAAAAAAATCAACATAGTAAGTTGACTTTTCGAATTAATCATACTAAAACTTCGAGATAATAAACTGAAATTTCAAACTAGAGACAAAAAACAGCGAAAAATTAAATCAAAAATTTAGACAGTTGGTTAAATTTCGAAATAAACAGTTTAAATTTTGGTTAACAAAGTCGAAATCGGGAAATTATACAAAAAAATCGTAATTCGTCGTAGGGTTGAAGTAAGCCAACACTAAAAAAAGTCCAATTTTACAAACTGGGAAACTAAAAGTTTGAAGTAATAAATCGAAATTTTCAAATTATAAATTCCGAGCTAAAGAAATGAAAATGTCAAAATTTCGAAACAACTAAATAGAAATTTTAATATAAAATGTTAAATTTAAAGCGAACTCGTCAAGATTGAAGTCAAAATAAAAAAAAAACACGAAATATTAACAAATAAAATTCCGATCTACAAAAATTCAGAAAATAAATCAAACTTTCGGAAATTTGTAAATCATAAGTCAAAATTTTGACTTGATTAAAAAAAAATCAACATAGTAAGATGACTTTTCGAATTAATCACACTAAAACTTCGAGATAATGAACTGAAATTTTGAAAATAGAGACAAAAACAGCGAAAAATTAAATCAAAAATTTAGACAGTTGGTTAAATTTCGAAATAAACAGTTTAAATTTTGGTTTAAAAAAGTCGAAATCGCGAAATTATAGAAAAAAGTTAAAAAACAAAAATGTCAAAATTTCCAAACAACTAAATCCAAATTTTAGTATAAATTATATAAACTTGGAGTGAACTTGCCGAAATTAAAAAAAAATACACGAACTATTAAAAAATAAAACTTCGATCTAATGATATTCGAATCTACAAAAATTCAGAAGGGATACTTCTAAAATAAACCAAACTTTGGGAAATTAGGAAATCATAATTGAAAATTTTGGCTTCATTAAAAAAAAATCAACATATAAGTTAACACTTCGAATTAGTCACACTAAAACTTTGAGATAATGAATTGAAATTTTTAAAATACAGCCAAAAACAGCGAAAAATTAAACCAAAAATTTAGACAGTCGGTTAAAATTCGAAATAAACATTTTAAATTTTGGTTTAACTAAATCTAAATCTCGAAATTATAGAAAGAAATCTTAATTCATCAAAGGGTTGAAGTAGCTCAACACTCAAAGAAGACGCCAAAATTACAAACTGGGGAACCAAAATTCGAAGTAATAAATCAAAATTTTCAAATTATAAATTTCGAGTTAACGAAATAAAAACGTCAAAATTTCGAAAGAACTAAATCGAAATTTTAGTGTAAAATGTAATTTCAAGTGAACGTGTGAATCAAAATGTCAAGATTAAAGTTAATTTTTCAAAAAATTAACACAAAATATTAAAAAATAACACTTCGATCTAATCAAAATCGAATTTGTAAAAAAAATGCAGAGTGGATAGTTCTAAAATAAACTATACTTTGTGAAATTTGGAAATCATAAGCAACATTTCGATTTATTTAAAAAAAATCAACATAGTAAGTTGACACTTCGAATTAATCGCACTAAAATTTCGAGACAATAAATTGAGATTTCCAAATAGAGAAAAAAAAAACGATGAAAAATACAATACTAAGAGAATAAATCAGAAATACAAACGAAGAAATCAAAACTTTGAAAATTTTGAAATTATAAATTTCGAGCCAACAAAATAAAAAAGTCAAAATTTTGCAATAACAAAATCGAAATTAATTTTAGTGTAAAATATGTATATTTCAACTAAAATCATTTAAGTCAAAATTTCCAAAACATTACACGAAACATTAAAAAATAAAACTTCGATCAATTGAAACTCGAATCTGTAAAAATGCAGGACGAATAGTTCTAATTATTACGAATTAATCATGCTAAACCTTCGATTTAATAAATTGAAAATTCAAAAAGAGACAAAATACAGCGAAAAATTAAATCAAAATTTTAGACAGACAGATAAATTTCAAAATAATAAGTTTAAATTATGGTTTAACAATGTCGAAATCGGGGAATTGTACAACTAAATCTTAATTCGTCAAAGTGTTAAACTAACCCAACACTAATAAGAGAATAAAAGTCAGAATGACAAACAAGGAAATCAAAAAGAAAAAGTCAAAATTTTGAAAAACATTATCGAAATTTTTCTGTAAAATATGTACATTTCAAGTAAAATTATAAATAAAAATGTCAAAATTTACGTCAAAATTAAAAAAATATATATACTTTTTGAAATTTGGAAATCATAAGTAAAATTTTGGCTTAAATAAAACAAATCAACACAGTAAGTTGACACCTCGAATTAATCATACTAAACCTTCGAGAAAATAAAGTGAAAATTCAAAATAGACAAAAAAAGAGCGAAAAATTAAATCAAAATTTTAGGCAGATATATAAAATTTCGAAATAAAATTTTAAATTATGGTTTAACAAGGTCGAAATCGCAAAATTGTCCAACGAAATCTTAATTCATCAAGGGGTTGAAGTAACATAATACTGAGAAAATAAGTCAGAATTACAAACTAGGAAATAAAAAATTGTCAAATTTTCAAATTATAAATTTCGAATTAACGAAATGAAAATGTCACTATTTCGAAATATGTAACTAAATCGAGAATCTCGAATTTGTAAAAATGCAGAACGAATATAGCTCTAACATAATTATATCGAAACTTCAAGGAATCACACCAAACTTCGTGATACTAAACCATACTTTGGGAAATTTGCAAAATGCAAGTCAAAAACTTTTTTTGACTTGATTTAAAAAAAAAGTCAAGATTTGGAGATAATAAATCGAAATTTTGTAATAGTGACCAAAAAAGCGAAAAAATAAACCAAAATTTTAGACACTCGGTTAAATTTCGAAATAAAATGTTTAAATTTTAGTTTGACAAAGTAAAAACTTAATTCTTCAAAGGATTAAAGTAGCACAATACTAAAAGAATCAGTCAAAATTACAAATTAGGAAATCAAAAGTTGAAAGTGATAAATCAAAATATTCAAATTATAAACTTCGAGTTAAGGAAATGAACATGTCACAATTTTGAAACAATTAAATAGAAATTTTAGTGCAAAATATATAAATTCCAGGTAAACCTACGTGTCAAAATATCAAGAATCAAGTCAAAATTTCAAAATGACAAGAATATCAAAAATAAAAATTTATTTAGTGAAACTAATAAGTACAAATGCTAATATAATTACAACGAAACTTCGAGAGACCACACCAAACTTCGTGATAATAAACTAAACTTTGGAAAATTTGGAAAACATAAAGCAAAATCTTTACTTAAAGCAAAACTTCAACATAGTAAGTTTATATATACATTTCGAATCAATCATACCTAAACTTCGAGAATATAAACTGAAATTTTAAAATGGTGGCAAAAATTAGCAAAAAATAAATCAAAATTTTAGACAGATTTTTAATTTCGAAATAAAAAAAAAAGTTTAAATTTTGGTTAAACAGTCGAAAATCGCGAAATTGTAGAACGAAATCTTAATTCGTGGAAGTGTTAAAACACAATAGTAAAAAAATTAAGTTAAAATTACAAAGTAGTAAATCGAAAATTTGAAATAAAAAGTCAAAATTACAAATTTTGAGTCAACGCAATCAAAATTTCGAAACAAATAAACCCAAATTTGAGTATAAAATGTGCAAATTTCAAGTGCACGAGCGCGTCGAAATCTCGAGATGTTGATTCAAAACTTCAAAATAAAAACACGAAATACCAAAACAAATTCTATCTGATGAACATGTAATTTATTTAATAAAATAAAACCTCAACATTTTAAGGCGACAGTAAAATTCCGAGGTAACAAATAGAAATTTCGAAACAGTAAAAACAAATTCGAAAAATAAATCAAAATTTTAGACAGTCAGTTAAATGTCGAAATAAAAAGTCAAAATCGCGAAATTGTACAACGAAATTTTAATTCGTCAAAGTGAAACACAATTATAAAAACAATATCTGCGGTTATTTAGACGGGACTTTTCTCGCCCCTCACATAAAATCGATAAATTCAGTTTTTTTCGAAAACTGATAACATTTGATTTTGCAAAATATGATTTTTTTTTGTTAACCCTATAAGTAAAAAAATTGAAAATATAAGTCACCGTGAAAAAAAACATACGGTAAGAACGTGCTTTGAACTCAGTGGGGCAGAGCACAAGTACGAATATCAACCATCAATGCACTACGAAGCATTTGATTCATAAATAAAATATCGGCTGCAAAAACCAGGTGGAATACATTGCACAAAAAAATTGGACATACAAAAATGCATCATTTCTTTCAAATTAAATTATTTCATATACAAGTTAATAAGATTCTCGAAGTAAACGTTTTTTAGATTTATTTAAGAAAAAAAAGTCGATTCGGACGAAAAGAGGTACATTTATTTCATTTTAAGTCTATGATTGTTTTGTTCAAATTGTTCATATAAAGAAATTCATAATTTCTTTCAAAATAAATTATTGTACTTAAAAATTCCTAAGAAGTCTCCAAATAAACATTTTTCAAAATTTTTAAAATCTTGCCGCATCCACCATTTTTATACAAAGATTTGTGACCTAGTTTTCGCTATCCATGATGTCACCAAATTATGTAGGTCGTCTCTTAGAACATACAACTTGTGCAGAATTTTCATCTGGAAAAAAATGTTCTCTGAAGGGTTTAATTCTTCTTGACATAACATAACTTACCTTTTTACGATAAGCCACAGACAACTCATATTCAGGTTATGTTGTGAAATTGCGAATTCATCACAATAATGCACATTTTTAAGAACAAAGTGAATTCCGTACTAAATTCATACAATTTTTAAAGCTTTCTTTTTATAAATTAAAAAAAAAACGTTACAAGTCAAGAAGGGCCAAAATCACTTCCTCTACTACAACCTTACTCACCAATAGGCGTCGTCTTGCGACACAATATGCAAAACGTCCCCTTTCCGAAAATCCAGCCCAGCCTCCTTGCACGGAATGTACGGGTCGGTCGCCGCGTCATAGTTAAAATGCGCGCGCACCCTGACCTTACTCTCGCGGATGTTCAGTTTCCCGTCCGCCGGGACGAGCTTAAACGTGATGGTTCCCTCCGAGTTTTGCTACAACCAGCCATATAAACACACAGCAAAAACAAAAACAACTTTTCACGTACCAGGATGCTGAGGACGTCGTTTGGTGTTTTTCCCTCCACGTTGATGTAGTTCACCTCGACGACTTCGTCGCCCACGTGTATCAAACCTGAGCGGTCCGCGGCGCCCCCGTGCATCACCCTCGCTATGACGATCTTCCCGGTTTCTTCGTCGGTTTTAATCGTGGCTCCCTGAGTGAGAAAAACGGGATTAGTGGGGGCGAAATCGGTACGTCGCGTGGAAGAAATGTAGGTTAAGGAGATACTAAGAGATAAGTTGGTTGTTTGCGTAAATACTTACGACTATTGGTTCAGCACTTTGTGCCCCAGACTTCGCAAGAAAACAAAAAAATTATGAAAGTGTACATGTCATTTACTTTACTACTGCTAGGTATAAGTATTGCAAGGTTGGCTGTGTGGGGTTCATTGCATACATACCGGGTTTTTTTATATTGTTTTTTGACATGTTTTCCAATTATGTTTTTTTTTTCATGCAACTTCGGTGTTGCACAAATGTTGCAACAATTTTAAAGAAAAATAATAATTTGCCGAAATGCAACGATAGGAGTTCGTTTAAATTTTTTGGTTTTTATTTTTACAACTACTCAATGTGTGGGAAACAAACTGTAGTTTATTATTTGGTGGAACTTACCAGCGGTTCATTGCTTTTCACGAGTTGTACGATCTTGACAGTTTCTTCATCTTCGTCGGCCTCTTGAGGTATTTCTGGTAGGTGGGGGTAATAGTCTTTCTGCGCTATTGCATCGTGTGAATATAACAATCCCTACAAAATAATTAGGGTCACAAAGGTATAGGGTGCGACAAAAGTATGACAACACTTGAAAATAACGTCATGATTTTCTTAAAGGGGTGTTTACAAATTAAAATCTTGAAGTTATCGATGCGGTAGTTTTAAACATTATCTAAAATTTCCAGTAAAAAAATAAACAACAGACGACTAGGAATTTATTATTTAATTTATTATTCATTTATGGATATCCACATTTTTCCAATCTGCAACCCATTATACAGGATCACAATTATTACTCTGTATACATAAAAAACACGAAGGAATATTCACTTTGTTTACACGCATACACGCATTAAACGAAAAAAAAATGTCCAGTAAACTTTGAAATTTAATGTAAAAATTAACTGATAATTCTGGTAGTACGGGTGGTTTCCAGTTTTCTTAGTTAATTATTTTGGACATTGGGACACTTTCTATAGTGTAAAAAATACAATTTATGAACATCCTCATTTTTCCGAATCTGCAAGCAATTATACAGGATCACATTTATTATCAACTATTAGAAAAATCCTAGGAATATTCACTTTGGTACCACCATTCTAACAAAAAAAAATCTCTAGTAAGCTTTGAAATTCAATGTTAAAAATAACTGTCAAATAAGTGCAATACCAACATTATTTTAAAAATAAATTTTATAACCTACTAGAGGTTTTTTTTATCATATGGTATTTCATTATACAACGTGTACCTAAAATGATTGTGGTATCAAGAGTGGCCCTCAAATTTCTTAGTAATTCTTTTGAATATATTTTGACTTACTTTTAGGACACTGTCTGTAGTATAAAAAATACAATTTATGATTGATTGAGCCTGATTTTTCCGAATCTGCAACCCACTATACACAGTAACAATTCAGTATTAAAAAAAAAATCTGGTACCAAGGTGGCTCTGAAATTTCTTTAACATTTCAAAGTCGCCCTTTATAGCACAAATATTTTTCCATGTTTAAAAAAAATGCCTAGTAATACTCACTTTCGATATATTTTAGGACCCTCTATAGTATAGAAAATACAATTAATGAACATCTTTATTTTTCCGAATCTGCAACCCACTATACAAGATAACAGTTACCCAGTGGCAATTAATGTTTGGGAATTTTTTGTCAGCTTGGCAACATATTAAAATTTTGTTGGCATACCTGATAGTCAAATTGATATTTGCTCAACACTATAGCCCCTAGAAAACACATATTATAGCCAGCGTGGAGAAAACCTGGCCTAAACTTAACAAAAAACAAAAATCACTGACGTCATTTGACAGACCGCGAAATTTAAAATGGTTTTAGGTCGGACTTAAAAGTTGTAGTTTATACACAAAATTTGGATTTTTTATTTGAATATAATTAAAAAAATGTGTTGATTAGATAAATATTAATAAAATATAAAATTTAATCAATAAAATCTTATTTAATAATGATTAGTCATATTAAATGACAATTTGACTTTAAATAAGATTATATTAAATGACGTTGTTATCACAATGAGGAACATTTCTTTGACATTTCAAAGCCGACCTTGATCTCAAAATTTTAGTGTAAAATATGTACATTTTAAGTGTCAAAATGTCAAGATTTAAGACAAAATTTCAAAAAAATTACACGAAATATTGAAAAATAAAACTTGGATTAAACGAAACTCGAATCTGTAATTCAAAAATTAATCAAACTTTGGGAATTTTGGAAATCATGTCAAAATTTTGACTTAATTAAAAAAAAACTTCAACATAATATGTTGATACTTCGAATTAATCTTACAAACCTTCGAGAAAACAAATTCAAAATTCAAATGAGAGAAAAAAAACAGTCAAAAATTAAGTCAAAATTTTAGACAGGCAGATAAATTTTTTCAAATAAAAAGTTTGAATTATGGTTTAACAAAGTAGAAGAAGTAACACAATACTAAGAAAATAAGTCAAAATTACAAACTCGGAAATCAAAAGTTTGAAAATGTTCAAATTATAAATTGTGAACTAACAAAATGAAAAAGTCAAAATTCTGAAAAAACGAAATTGAAATCTTTGTGGAAAATATGTACATTTCAAGTAAAATTATGAATCAAAATGTCAAGATTTAGGTCAAAATTTCAAAAAATGACACGAAATATTAAAAAATAAAACTTCGATCAAACGATACTGGAATTTGTAAAAATGCAGAGCGGATAATAATTTTAAAATAAAACAAACTTTAGGAAATTTGGAAATCATAAGTCAAACTTTTGACTTAATTAAAAGAAACTTAAACATGGTAAGTTGACACTTCGAATTAATCATACTAAACCTTCGAAATAATAAATTGAAAATTCAAAATAGACAAAAAACAGCGAAAAATTAAATAAAAATTTTAGACAGGCAGTTAAATATCGAAATAAAAAGTTTAAATTTTAGTTTAATAAAATCGAAACCGCGAAATTTTAGAAAGAAATCTTAATTCGTTAAAAGGTTGAAGTAGCCCAACACTAAATGAAAAAGTCAAAATTACAAATTGGGAAACCAAAAGTTTGAAGTAATAAATCAAAATTTTCAAATTATAAATTCGAGTTAAAGAAATGAAAATGTCAAAATTTCGAAACAACTTAATCAAAATTTTTAGAATAAAATATATAAAATAAATATATTAAAATTTTATTATAGCATACCTGATTGTCAAATTGACATTTGTGACCCTAACTTAGTCGCTGCCATTTGCTCAACACTATAGCCCCTAGAAAACAAACCTGGCGTAAACTTAACAGAAACAAAAATTATTATTGACGCCATTCGACAAACCGCGAAATTTAAAATTGTTTTAGGTCAGACTTAAAATTTGTAGTTTATACACAAAATTTGGATTTTTAAATTGAATACAATTAAAAGAATGTGTTGATTAGATAAATATTAATAAAATATAAAATTTAATTAATAAAATCTTATTTAATAATGATTAATTATAATAAATGACAATTCGACTTTAAATAAGATTATATTAAATGACGATATTATGCACTTCTAAGGGCTATAGTCAACACGTTTGTCAGGCGCGCTTATGTCAAAATTGACAACTGTGTAAAGTGACAACAACCAGTGTTGCCAATATTTCAGAATTGCCAACACAACAATTTGCTTCAATCATTAAATTTCATGGTCATTTTAATAATAAGTAATAATAAAAAACGTATTTTATGACGTTGATCATCAACATATTCTTAAACGGTTCTGAGATCAAGAGTGGTTCTGAAATTTTTTTATTAAATATTTTTGCGCATTCTTACCACAATGACGAACATTTATTTGACATTTCAAAGCCAACCTTGATCCCAAAACCATTTAAGGACACGTTGTATAGAATTCATACTGGGAATAATATTCATTTTCGCATATTTCGTGATGTTTATCTTTTAGGAACACTCTCTATAGTCTAAAAATACAATTCATGAACATCCATATTTTTCCTAATCTGCAACCCACTATACACAATCACAATTAACAAGTGATGATTAATATTAATGTTTGTGATTGTTTTTTTTTTAGATTGGCAACACATTTAAAATTTTATGACGTCAAACCCTATTGTCAAATTGACATTTATGACAGCAAGTCAGTAGCAACTGTGTGCTTCACCACGTTTGTTAGGCGCGCTAATGTTAAAATTGACAACTATGAACTGACATACAAACAGTGCTGCCAATATTTCAGAACTGCCAACACAACAATTTGCTTCAATCATTAAATTTCATGGTCTACTGGAGATCTTATTTTCTTTGTCATTTCAATAATAAGTAATAATAAAAAACGTATTTCATGACGTTGATCATCAACATATTCTTAAACGGTTCTGAGATCAAGAGTGGTTCTGAAATTTTTTTATTAAATATTTTTGCGCATTCTTATCACAATGACGAACATTTATTTGACATTTCAAAGCCAACCTTGATCCCAAAACCATGTAAGGACAGGTTGTATAGAATTCATACTAGGAATAATATTCATTTTCCAATATATAGTGATGTTTATCTTTTAGGAACATCCTCTATAGTGTAAAAATACAACTCATGAACATTCTTATTTTTCTTAATCTGCAACCCACTATACACAATCACAATTAACAAGTGATGATTAATATTAATGTTTGTGATTTTTTTTTGTCAGATTGGCAACACATTTAAAATATTATGACGTCAAACCCTATTGTCAAATTGACATTTATGACAGCAAGTCAGTAGCAACTGTGTGCTTCACCACGTTTGTTAGGCGCGCTAATGTTAAAATTGACAACTATGAACTGACATACAAACAGTGCTGCCAATATTTCAGAACTGCCAACACAACAATTTGCTTCAATCATTAAATTTCATGGTCTACTGGAGATCTTATTTTCTCTGCCATTTCAATAATAAGTAATAATAAAAAACGTATTTCATGACGATGAACATCAACATATACTTAAACGGTTCTGAGATCAAGAGTAGTTCTGAAATGTTTTTATTAAATATTCTTCCGCATTGTTACCACAGTGACGAACATTTCTTTGACATTTCAAAGCCGACCTTGATACCAAAACCATTTAAGGACACATTGTATAGAATTCATACTAGGAATAATATTCATTTTCTCATATTTCGTGATGTTTATTTTTAGGAACACTCTCTATAGTCTAAAAATACAATTCATGAACATCCTTATTTTTCCTAATCTGCAACCCACTATACACAATTACAATTAACAAGTGATGATTAATATTAATGTTTGTGATTTTTTTTTTGTCAGATTGGCAACACATTTAAAGTTTTATGATGGCAAACCCGATTGTCAAATTGACATTTGTGACAGCAAGTCAGTAGCAACTGTGTGCTTCACCACGTTTGTTAGGCGCGCTAATCTTAAAATTGACAACTATTAACTGACATACAAACAGTGCTGCCAATATTTCAGAACTGCCAACACAACGATTTGCTTCAATCATTAAATTTCATGGCCTACTGGAGATCTTTTTTTCTTTGTCATTTCAATAACAAGTAATAATAAAAAACGTATTTCATGACGTTGATCATCAACACATTCTTAAACGGTTCTGAGATCAAGAGTGGTTCTGAAATTTTTTTATTAAATATTTTTGCGCATTGTTACCACAATGACGAACATTTATTTGACATTTAAAAGCCAACCTTGATCCCAAAACCATTTAAGGACACATTGTATAGAATTCATACTAGGAATAATATTCATTTTCGCATATTTCGTGATGTTTAACTTTTAGGAACACTCTCTATAGTCTAAAAATACAATTCATCCTTATTTTTCTTAATCTGCAACCCACTATACACAATCACAATTAACACGTGATTAATAATGTTTGTGATTTTTTGTCAGGTTGGCAACACATTTAAAATTTTATGGTGGCAAACCCGATTGTCAAATTGACATATGTGGCACCAAGTCATTCATGAACATCCTTATTTTTCTTAATCTGCAACCCACTATACATAATCACAACAATATTAATGTTTTTTGTCAGGTTGGCAATACATTTAAAATTTTTTAGGCGCGCTCGTGTCAAAATTGACAACTATATGAACTGACATTCAAGCATTGCTGCCAATAATTCAGAAGTGCCAACACAAAAATTTACTTCAATCATTAAAAGTCAATCGGTATTATTCAGAATAAAAAAAACCCTAGGAATATTCACTTTGGTTACACAATATGATATCAAAAAGTCGTCTAGCAAGCTGTGAAATTTAACGTTAAAAAAATTATGATGGAGACAACCACAGTTTGACAGTTTGAAGAAATAACTGTCAAATACTACCCCCATTTTAAAAATAAATTTCATGGCCTGCTCGAGGCCTTTTTTTCGATCATATGTTATTTCATCATGTTTATACAACATGTTTTTAAAACGAATCTGGGATCAAAGGCGGCTATGAAATTTCTTTGTTAATTATTTTACCGCCTTGTTGGTACAGTCGGACACATTTTTTTGACATTTCAAAGCCGCACTTGATACCAGAACTATTTACAGACACGTATTTTTTGTGAAGTGAAAAAACATGGTAATATTTGTCCGCACTCAAATTTAAGTTTGCAACAATGAATCTTTTAAATTACGCACCACACGCGACTGGTGAATTTCGTGGCAACAAATTTAAAATCAGCCCAAATAACTCATTATTACCAACCTAAATTTGAGCGCGAACAAATTATTAATCCGTGTAGTGTAAAATAATACAATCCATGTACATCCCTATTTTCTTCACCCTACACGTTCACAATTACCCAGTTTGTTGTTTGTCTTCTTTATCAGGTTGGTGACAATTTTTAAAATTTTATGATGGCATACATGATTGTCAAATTGACACTGTGAATTCATAAACATGAATTGCTGCCAATAATTCAGAATTGCCAACACAAAAATTTGCTTTAATCATTAATAGTCACCCGGTATTATTCAATATAAAAAGAAAACCTAGGAACTTTTGGTAGCACCATATGAACGAAAAAGTCCTCTAGCAAGCTTTGAAATTGAATGTTAAAAAAATCATGTTTGCGAGAAATAACTATCAAATGCCGCCATCATTTTAAAAATAAATTTCATGGCCTGTCGGACGCCTTTTTTTTAATCATATGTTATTTCCTGATGTTGATACAACATGTTCTTAAAATGACTCTGCGATCAAAGGCAGCTATGAAATTTCTTTGTTAATTATTTTTCCGCTCTGTTGGTCCAATCGGGCACATTTCTTTGACGTTTCAAAACCGCCCTTGATACTATAACCATTTACAAACACGTATTTTTTGTTTTTTGCGCAATCTCTAGATAGACCTTTTGTATAACTAAGGTGGCCGCCAATTCAGTGCTACCAATAAAGTAAAAAACATGGTAATATTTGTCCGCATTCAAATTTAATTTGGCAACACAAAATCTTTTAAATTAAGCACCATACTCGATTGGTGAATTTCGTGGCACCAAATTTAAAATGGGGGAAAATAAGCCCAAATAACTCATTGCTGCCAACATAAATTTCCATGACATTTATATTTTTAGGACATTCCATAGTGGAAAAAATAATGTACATCCTTGCCATCTGTTCACGTTTGTTAGGCGCGCACATGTCAAAATTGACAGTGTTGCGAATATTTCAGAACTGCCAACACAAAAATTCTCTTCAATCATTAATAGTCACCCGGTATTACTCAATATTGAAAAAAAAAATCCTAGGAATTTTTCGTTGTACCATAGGAACGAAAAAAGTCATCTAGCAAGCTTTGAAATTTAATGTTAAAAAAATTATGCTTGTGACACCAATGCGTTCCTTATTCGGTTTGACAATTGGGATGTCAAATAGGTGCAATGGCAACGTCAGTATTTTAAAAATAAATTTCATGGCCTACTGGAGGTCTTATCTGGTATTTTAAGACGTTCATACAGAGTGTTCCTTAAATGACTTTGGTATCAAGGGTCGCTCTGAAATTTGTTGATTATTATATGTAACTATTTTTTTTTTTTTTAATTATAGAAACACTAATTTTTACATTTACAAACGAATATACCTAGAAATAATAATATAAAAATAAAATAAACTATTAAGTAATAACTGTTTCATAATTATGAAACAATTTGACGTCATCCCGAAAAAAAATTAAATTAAAAAGGAAAGCTCAGTGTAAGTAACTAAATTTGTTGTGTTATATAAAAGGGTAAAAAGTTCTTCCACATGTTTGAACAACAATTGGTAAATAAGTATCTAATGAAAAAAGTTGCTTTCTTTATATGTATATGCAACCAATTACACACTCGTGTAAATCTACAGACAACATTTAAAACAACCTTTCAACTCTAGTGACAAAATTTAATAAACTCAATTTTCACCTAGCCTCAACTTTATATACCCTTTTATTTCAAACCAAAGTTTGACCTTTTAAGTTGATCAGTTTGTCTGACCACCAACCGTTCGCCTTTAAAAAATTACGCAACAATGTGCCGCCAAAGTCCTGCAGATCTATTCTTAAAGTATTGATTAAGTTTATTCAGAACTATCCAACGCCCACCCTGATAACCATCTCCCTTGTCCCATTTTCCGGTCAACCCATCAACCCGGAAATTAAAATACAACGCATACTTATGCAACCAACTTGACACGTCTGCATACCTGCACGTGCGGCTTCTGTAGCAGATAGAACAGCTCCTTACAATCTTCCGAAGACTGTATTCTGCTCGCCAGAACTTCCAGCACGTCCACCATAACGTGCATCGAGGTCGACAGCATCGGGAAAAACTTATCGCTAGCGCCATTACTGATTATCTTATTATGAACATTAACTAAGGCATGAAGTTCCTTCGATTGTAGCAGGTCGCTCAGAAATCCCAGCTCCTCTTCGGTCGAGGGCAACTCCCTGGCTTGCTGGAGCGACGAGAGCAAACGCGACAAGGCTGCAGCATAAAAATCGCCCGCATCAACGGGGAGCAACTACTCAAAAATTGCTACGTCAACGAACGCAAAAAAAGAACTCAAGCCAAACTAACCGAGGAGAACGGGTCCAAATAAAAAACAACTAAATCCAACGCACTCCCATCTCACCTGGATCCCACTTTTCTCGCGTTCCATTAGCCATTAGCTCCGCTGTCATTCTACAAGTGAAAATTGTTCGATTAGAAAACTTTGTCGGGTTACACTACACAGCTACGTGACAACGAGTCTACTTTGCTCCAGATAAGTCTACGCACGTGGAAGTGTACATTTTGCAACCTCAGCGGAAGATCTATTTTTACTTGGACAGCAAAAATTTTTGCGAGAAGTAGATCATGAGGCATGCGTGTGAAAAACGCTGAGGGGGCAAGGGGTTACTAAAGGAGTGAAATACCTTCGAGCTCCCCGATTATTATTGAATTTATCACCAACATTCCATCCCAAATCAATCAAAACCCCGTACAAAAATTCCGATTCCCAACATGGCGTCTGACAGAACTGACAGCGAGGGGTGCCAACCGAGCGACAGGAACTCCCCGCGGAGCTACAGAAAAGGAAAAGTCCCCAACGCAATCAATGTTTATTGTTTTTTTATTAATAAACGGTTTGTTTTTTCGTGTTATAAACATAGCAATTTTAACTAATTAGGTAGTTAATTAACATATACTTTTTTCCGTAAACTAACAAGTATTTTGTTGTTAAAAAAAATCAATGTACTCAAGGTTTGCTTAAAAATTAAAAAATTTTAGAATCTGCGGTGGCAGCATCTTTGAGTTTAAATTTAAACTGTTTAAAACCAACGACGACTTAACAACATAACCTCAAAATTTCGAAATAAAGATCAGAACAGATAATTTTATTTGATTATTTGTAGACTAACTGATTAAAAAACAGGGCTCATGTTTTGAAATAAAAAAACCTGTTTTAAGAGGTTTAAAACAATTAAAACGAACCGTCTTCGAGATTTGTGGAAAAAATCAAAATTGTACAATTTTCGATTTTTCAGTTCTGGGACTTTTCAATTATTCCATTCTTCCATTTCTTGCTTTTTCACATGAACTTTTTTATTTTTCGATTTCTCAATTATCCGGTGTTTCAGTTTTGCGTACATAAAATATTGATTTTTCAATTCTTCTATTTCTCGAATTATCGACATTTCGATTGTCGAATTTTCCAATTTTTCAAATTTTGGATCTTAGTCAATCTCTACATAAGAATAAAAAAATCATCACGATTGAGATAGGGTGGGTGGGCGGGGTTTATATTTTGTCTTTTTTTCTTAATATACATAGTATTCTTTGAACAACACGATACTCAAAAACATGTTTTTCACTTCTTGTAAAGAAATAAGTATTTTGCAGTTAAGTTCCGCCCCTTTGATTAACGGTGAATAAAAAAAATTATCACAATTGAGATAGGGCGGGTGGGCGGGCAGACATTTTTCCTGTTTGTTTTAATATGTGTAACCATGTTTTAAGTTTCTTGTTGTGAAAAGATGGCTATGTATGTTAAGAAAAAAAAAGCAAAATATAAGCCCCGCCCACCCGCCCTTTCTCAATTGTGATGATTTTTTTTTTATTTGTCGTAAGCCGAGGGGCGGAGCTTAATTATAAAGTCCTTATTTTACCACGAGAAATTACCATGTGAAATATGTTCTTCAGTAATCGTGTTATACAAAGAAAACTGATTGCATTAATAAAAAAGAAACCAAAAGTGATTTTCGATTTCTCAATTTTCCGGTATTTCAGTTTTACATTTTAAATTTTAAATCTTTCGATTTTAAATTTTCAATTTTTCGAATTTTTGATGTTTCGATTTCAGTTTTTGGGTTCTTCGATTTTTCTGTTGAATTTATCAAATTTTTAAATTCTAGATTCTTGATTCTTGATCTAAGTTTGTAAGTTTTTCGATTTTTCAGTCCTTCGATTTTTGTATTTTCCAATGTCTCGATTTCTCGATCTTCCGATTTTTCGACTTCCAGGTTTTACAATTTTCGGTTATTCACTTTTTCAATTTTTGCCATTTTTGAATTTTAGACTTTTCAATTTTTCTATTTATCGAATTATCAACATTTCGATTATTTGATCGTTAAATTTCCCGATTTTTCAAATTTTCGATTTTTCGTTTTTTTTAGAACTAAAATTTAAATTTTTTCGTTTTTGGGATTTTAGATTTCTTGATTTTTTTCTATTTTTCGATCGTTTCATGTTTCGATTTCTCGATGTTTCAATTTTCCAGTTTTTCGATCTTTCGATTTTTCAATTTTTCGGCATTTGTGTTTTCATCCTGTTTTAAAACAAAAAATCCAATTTTAAAAATTTTGAAACAACTAAAACCGTTTTATACTCACCAACATTATGTAGAACATAAGAATAAAAAAATCCTCACAATTGAGATGGGGTGGGTGGGCGGGCTTTATATTTTGTCTTTTTCTCTTAATATATTTAGTATTGTTTGAACAACACGATACTCAAAAATATGTTTTTCATTTCTTGTAAAGAAATAAGTATTTTGCAATCAAGCTCCGCCCCCATGATTAACGGTGAATAAAAAAAATCATCACAATTGAGATAGGGTGGGTGGGCGGGCAGACATTTTTCCTGTTTGTTTTAATATTTGTAGACTCCTTTCCACAACATCATTGCAAAATCCATCTTTCCTTGCAAAAATTACCATTTTACTCATGTTTTAAGTTTCTTGTTGTGAAAAGATGGCTATGTATATTAAGAAAAAAAGCAAAATATAAGCCCCGCCCACCCGCCCTTTCTCAATTGTGATGATTTTTTTTGTTATTTGTCGTAAGCTGAGGGGCGGAGCTTAATTATAAAATCCTTATTTTTCCACGAGAAATTACCATGTGAAAGTACCATGTGTTCTTAAGTAATCGTGTTATACAAAGAAAACTAATTGTAATAATTAAAAAAAAAAAAAAAAAACGAAACGAGATTGTCAATTTCTTGATTTTCCGGTATTTCAGTTTTACAACTTGACAATTTTGATTCTTCAATTTTTCAATTTTTTATTTTTGGCGATTTATCGATTTTACGACTTTTCGACTTCTTGACATTCCTATTTCTGGATTTCTCGACTTTTTGATGTTTTGGTTTCTCGGCGTCTTCATATCCCGATTTTTTGATTTTTTAGTTTTTCGATTCTTCACTTTTTCGATTTTTCAGATTTTTAATTTTTCAATTTTTCGATTGTTTTAATTTTCGATTTTTCAACTTTTCAGCTTTTCGATTGTTCGATTTTTCCATGCTTCAGTTTTGAGATTTTCGAATTATTTGATTTTTCAATTTTCGTCGATTTTTCAATTTTTCCATTTTCGATTTATCAGTTTATTAATTTTTCAATATTTCTGTTTTGAGATTTTTCAACTTCTTGGTTTTTTATTTTCGATTTTTCAAATTTTAGAACTTTCGATTTTAAATTTTCAGTTTTTCGCATTTTTGATGTTTAGATTTCACTGTTTTTAGGTTCTTCGATTTTTCTTTTGAATTTATCGAATTTTTGAATTCTAAATTCTTGATTTTAAGTTTTTCCGTTTTTCGATTTTTCGGTCCCTCGATTTTTCAATTTTCCAATGTTTCGATTTCCAGGTTTTACATTTTTCGGTTTTTCACTTTTTCAAATTTTGCAATTTTTGAATTTTGGATTTTTCAATTTTTCTATTTCTGGAATTATCAACATTTCGATTATCCGATTGTTAAATTTCCCAATTTTTCAAATTTTCGATTTTTTGTTTTTTTTGGAATTAAAATTTTTCAATATTTAAAATTTTAATTTTTCATTTCTGGGATTTTCAATTTCTTGATTTTTTATATTTTTCGATCGTTTCATATTTCGACTTCTCGATGTTTCAACTTTTCGATGTTCATATTTTCCAGTTTTTCCATGTTTTGATTTTTCAATTTTTCGGCATTTGTGTTTTCATCTAATTTTAAAACAAAAAATCAAATTTTAATAGTTTTAAAACAACTAAAACAAACCGTTTTTTACTCACTAAAATTATGTAGAACATAAGAATAAAAAAATCATCACAATTTAGATGGGGTGGGTGGGCGGGGTTTATATTTTGCCCTTTTTTCTTAATGTAATTTGTATTCTTTAAACAACACGATACTCAAAAACATGTTTTTCACTTCTTATAAAGAAATAAGTATTTTGCAGTTAAGTTCCACCCCCTTGAGACAGGGCGGGTGGGCGGGCAGACACTTTTCCTGTTTGTTTTAATATGTGTAGACTCCTTTTCACTATTTATATTAAGAAAAAAAATTAAGTCAAAAATTAGGCCCCACCCATACCCGCCCTGATCTCAGTTCTTAATTCTGATGATTTTTCATTCGTTGGCAGACCTAGGGGCGGAGTCTAATTGCAAAAATCATATTTCCTTACAAAAATTTACCATTTTAAACCTGTTTTAAGTTTCTATGAATAAAAAAAATCATCACAACAGAGATGGGGTGGGTGGGTGGGGTTTATATTTTGCCCTTTTTTTCTTAATATACATAGTATTCTTTGAAAAACACGACACTCAAAAACATGTTTTTAATTTCTTGGAAAGAAATAAATATTTTGCAGTTAAGTTTCGCCCTCTTGGTTCACAGCGAATAAAAAAAATCATCACAATTGAGATGGGGCGGGTGGGCGGGCTTACATTTTGTCTTTTTGTTTTAATATGTGTAGACTTTTTTTCACAACATGAAACTCAAAACATGTTTAAAATGGAAAATTTGTATAAGGAAATATCGATTTTGCAATTAGACTGCAATGTCGATATTTCCTTGTCAAAAATTACTATTTTAACCATATTCTAAATTTCTTGTTGTGAAAAGAAAGCTATGAATATTACTAACAAAAAGAATATATAAACCCCACCCACCCACCCTATCTCAGTGGTGATGATTTTTTTATTCCTAGAAACCTAAAACATGACGAATAAAAAAAATCATCACAATTGAGATAGGGCGGGTGGGCGGGCTTACATTTTGCCTTTTTTTTTTCTTAATATGTGTAGACTTTTTTTCGCAACATGAAACTTAAAACATGTTTAAAATGAAAATTTGTATTAGGAAATCTCGATATTTCCTTGCAAAAATGTACTATTTTAACCATATTCTAAATTTCTTGTGGTTAATAATGTGGCTATCTATATTGAGAAAAAAAAAAGGCAAAATATAAACCCCGCCCACCCGCCCTTTCCCAATTCCGATGATTTTTTTTATTTGTCGTAAGCCGAGGGGCGGAGTTTAATTATAAAATCCTTATTTTTTCCGGGCAAAATACCATGTGTAGTTAATATGTTCTTAAGTAATTGTGTTATACAAAGAAAACTAATTGTATTCATTAAAAAAGAAGACCAAAAGAGATTTTCGATTTCTCAATTTTCCGGTATTTCAGTTTTACGAATTGACAATTTTGACTTTTTCGATTTTTCTATTTCTCAAAAACCAAAATCAAATTTTATATGTTTTCAAAGAGCGAAATTTGCTGGGTTCTCTTCAGAGGCAAGGGAAGTTCTGACGGACCAATTCTTTATCGAATCAATTAATCATGTTCTGTCTACTATTGGTTTTGTTATTTCGATCCCCGGACTGAAATCACAGCATAGATAACTAAATTGTTATCTCTACTGTGCTGAAATGCTACACAGACGAATCTAAATGTATATGCAACCAACATTACACGCACACTTGAAAACAAACCGGAGCGCTGGAAATTAAAAAATGACAGTTGCAGTAATTTTTGTGACGTGCTACCAATCGCTGAACGAAATGTCACCAAATTTCGATTTGGTTGATTTTTTTGGTGATCTTTTTAGAAACGTTGGGGATATAAAAGTATGGAGTCATGTTTAAAATTGTACAATTTATTCTTATTTACCATACAGACATAAAATAATAGTAATAATAATGTGCATAAATGAAAGAAAACAACAGTTGTAGACTGGAAACTTAGTCTTATAAAAATATAAATAAACAGACTGCACATATAGGTAATGACTTATGATGCATACAATCGGGCCATTGCATGTAAGTTCAGACTGTCTCTACGAGTAGCACAACTTGAATGATAATAATTATTGCATACTGACTAAAGAGGCTATTTATAACTTTAGGTATGCTATGTTATATTTGCACTAACATCGAACTATATTATGTTTCTTTAATAGTATACATTAAAATAAAGCTTTTACCTGAATTTTGAGTGGTTATACATATCTAAAAAATGCCAATCTCACATCACTTTTGCTTATATATATAATAAAGTTAGGTATATAAATGTAATTTACAGAGATATGAAAAAGAACATGCCATTCAGGGTGATACCATACCGAAACACATCAAAACGCGTAATTTTGTCAAAAATTTAGTATCTCGGATGACATAAGTGGTCATAGTTTGGAAGGCACTTACTACTTCATTTTTGAACACATTAAGCCTAGTCGAGAACGCAACAACTACTACACCAACAAAAGATCGGGAGAATTAGTTCCAAAGGTTTGCGCAATTTCGAAACAAACACAGTTTAAAGGCCACTTTTCGAAAAATATCACTTCACGAGACGCATAAAGTTAAACGAGCGTGGTAGACCCATAAATGGCAGGAAGGCATTTATAATTTCTTTTAAATCGTAATAATCTTTCTACATTTACAAGTTTTTTATATAAATTTTGTACATTATTTCATATCCTACACTCTAAACAAATCACAAAAATAATTTTTTGTTGGCTCCGTGACTCCTAAGACTATCTCTGAAAGTATAAATGTTTGTTTCAATTAATCAACATGTGCTATCTGGTGAACTGAGTCGCAAATAATCGTGTGGCAGCACTGGAGTTCGTCTGTTCGAGTTGCACTACACTTTGTACATACACAACACCTACATTCACTATTGATGCTACGTTGTAACATATAATACATTTGGCATTGCTACAAGTCAGTAAATCATAGCTTCTCACCAAGTGGAAATGCACAGGGGGGCGCGGGGCGCCCGGGGGTGCGCCGGCCCGCGTCACGCGCATGCGCACGATTGCACATCGGGGGAGTTAATTTTGATTAAGAGTTGCGCGGGCGCGGCGCCCCGGGCGCGCATGCGCCCTCTAACGTCTGGAAATACAGAAGCTAAAGGCATCAACAAAGCATCTTTAATATCTATACATCTGTTTTAGTTACATATTTACTAAATAAATACAAATAATTTAAGGAGGAGACCAACTTATAAGAAATACTGATAATAACTGACCGTTTCTATTAAGTTAACGCCTATGTCTCGAACTAAAACTACCTAAAACAGGAATTCCTCAATATTGCACTGAAAAAATACAGTGGCTGATAAGAGCTAGTAGTCGTAATAGTACACGTACAATCGATTACATTGTCATTTTGTACATGCTCAATAACCTATCGAGTGACTTTGGTGTATTCTCATAGTTAGTATTAAAATAAACCATTCTCACGTTTCCCTCAACGCCTGGTATGCAAATATGAAAAAATAAATAGCATCTGCACACTTAACCACTAAATATACAAAAATTAAATTACTAATAAAATAAATAAATAACCTTTTTACAAAATATATTTAAACTATTTTTTAAGTAAACATTAAACAACTCCTTAAAAAATGTTTATTTCTCTTTATGATTCAACCGTTCGAGATATGCAAATGTGGAGTATACTAGGTGTTTTAATAGGTAAATCAATAACTTCTTCCGCACGACCGCGATAAAACTCTATTTTCATAACGTCGTCATTGTTTCGCCAGCGTACCAACTACTCAAACAAAAATGTATATAAATAACAAACAATTTAGCTTCTCAGAAATGCAGATTACGCCGCCCTAATTGTGTGCTTCGCGTTTATTACAGCGACACTGACTATGTCGTAAAAGAAAAACAGTTACGTTTATAGAAACGTGACGTAATTTTTATAATTGTACGCAATTATTCACTTAATGAGCACAATGGAGGCTATCAGACATAAATAAAAATAAACATTTTAATAAGGCGGACTGGGAAAACAATTTTAATTTAAATTTGTATACGTGTACAGGTGCCTGGATAAAGATCTCTTTAGAATATCATTATTGCATAGCATTTTCAACTGTTTGGGCCCCGATACAGCAATGTCAGTGTCAAGAAAGCACGGTTTTAGTTCTGGTGGACTGGAAAAGCGAACACGGGGCGAGCGCAGCGAGCACCACGAGGTTTTACAACGAACCACAATGTTAGTCGTTTTTTAATTCATACTAGGACTAAAGTGGGGTCGTGACGAAGGACAACCCGATCACATTTTTTTTTCGACCTTAATTTTTTTTAAATCACTCAAATAAATGTAACAATGGCCAAGTTCAAAACACATCTACCAGACTTTGAGTATTTTGATTACTTTAAAATTCGGATTCATTGATTGATTCGCAAAATCTGTGCAATTCTAACCTTTATGTACCAAAAACCACGACTACACCCACAAAAAAACACTTTGTTGATGTCAACAAATTTCGATTTAAAATTTTTAGCTTAGACTTAAAACTAAATCCGGCGCTGGAAGTTAAAACTTGAAACTTTAATTGAAACTAAAACTGAGCCTGAATGTAATAATCTGGAAGGAAAGTTCAAACTGGAACTGCTTAAAACTCAACGTGAAACTAAAACGAAGTCCCAAATTTGAACTATAACTGACTTTCGATCTCAATTTCAAATTAAAACAGATCAAGAACGTGAAACTATAACTGCGCTCAAAGCTGAAACTGAAACACTGAACGGTGATCTAAAATGAACCCAAAAGTGACTGTAACGTCAAAATTAAACTGCAGCTGAAACTGAACGTGAATTTCGGTCTTAAAATGAAACTGAGTCTGAAATTCAACTAGACAAAACTGAACCTACAATAAAATATGCCTGAAACTAAAATTGAATTCAACTCTGAATTTCGTTCTAAACTTCAAACTGAAACAGAGCTTAAAAGTGAAATTGAACCTAAAAATGGCAAAGCTACAAATCGGAAATTAGACTCTCGCTTAAACTGGGTTCGAGTTTATAATGAATTGGATGTGAATACAAACCAAAAAATGAAACTGAGTTTAAAACTAAATCTGAAACTAGATACAGTTATAAACTATAAATTGAAACTTTGGTTGCACCTTGAAAGTGAATTTGAAACTAAACTTGTAACGTTGAACTAGCTTCAAGTGGAACTAAATTTGATTCTTAATCTTGAACTGAGCCTGAACCATAATTTGAACTTGAAACTGGAATTCTTAATAATCTGCAAGGAAAGCTTAACCTGCAACAGTTTAAAACCTGAAACTAAAATTGAGCTCCAAATTTGAACTGAAACTGAATTTCATTCTAAATTTCAAACTAAAACAAGCTTGCAACTTGAAACTATAACTGAGTTCTAAGCTGGAATACTGAATTGTGTTCTAAAATTAAAACTAAAAATGACTGTAACACCCAGCTATAAATTACAAAATTAAACTGAACCTGAAACACAATGTGGATTTCGACCGTCAAATGAACTAATCTAAAATTAAACTGAAAAAAACTGAGTTTGAATCGAAATCTGAAACTGAATCTAACTGTAAACTTAAACTAAGAGCCTGAAATTACAATAGAACATGGCTGAACCTAAAACTGAAACTGGCTTTGACTCTGAACAATAACTGAATTTCGTTTCTCAGCTTCAAACTGAAACAGAGTTTGAAAGTGAACCTGAAGCAATAATAAAACAAAAATTCAAAATGAAACTGAATGTGAATCACAGCTGTAAAATGAAACTGAGTCTAAAACTGAATGAGAAAAAAACGGAAACTGAATTTAAATCTGAAACTAGGTTAGAATACAATTGTAGACTGAAACTAAAATCGTCACTGAATTTGAGCCTAGACTCAAAATCGAAGCTACAACTCTTCTTGAAACTAAATCCAGCGCTGGAAGCTAAATTTGACTCTAAACCCTAAAATGAACTATATTAAAATTGACTTGAACTTGAAACTAAAACCGAGCATGTGGACCTCATACGAACTAAACAGAAATAGAATGTGAAACTGCAACTGAGCTTAAAGCTGAAACTGAAACACCGAATTGTGTTCTAAAATTGAACCTAAAATTACTGCAACGCCAAGCTGCAAACTACAAAATTAAATTGAAGCTGAAACTGCACGAGAAAAAACTGAGTTTGAATCTAAACCTGAAACTGAATCACAATATAACTGTAAACTTAAACTACCAGTTTGAAATTACAATAGAAGAAGTCTGCAGCTAAAACTGAAACTGACTTTGACGCTGAACAATAACTGAATTTCTTTTCTCAGCTTCGAACTGAAACAGAGCTTGAAAGTGAACCTGAAACAATAAAAAATCAAAAATTTAAAATGAAACTGAATGTGAATCAGAACTGTAAAATGAAACTGAGTCTAAAACTGAACGAGAAAAAAACACGGAAACTGTAAACCGAAACTAAAATCGCGATTGAATTTGAGCTTTGACCCCAAATTGAAGCTAGAACTCATCTTGAAACTAAATCCAGCGCTGAAAGTTAAATTTGGCTCTAAACCCTAAAATGAACTAAATTAACATTGAGTTTAACTTTAAACTAAAACTGAGCCTGAATCTGAACCTTAAATGAGATTTCGTTCTTCGTGAAACTGAAACTGAGCTTAAAGCTGAGACCAAAATACTGAACTGTATTCTAAAAATGAACTTAAAAATCACTGCAACGCACGCTGCAAATAACAAAATTAAATTGAAGCTGAAACTGTATGTGAATTTCAGTCTTAAAATGAAACTGAAGCTGAAGTTGAAGGAGAAAAAATTGAGTTTTAATCTAAATTTGAAACTGAATCAGAATATAATTGTAAACTGAGACTAAGAGCCTGAAGCTGCAATAGAACATGCCTGAAACTAAAAGTGAAACTGAGTTTGACTCTAAACAACAACTGAATTTCAGCTTCAAACTGAAACTGAATGTGAATCAGAGCTGTAAAATGAAACTGAGTCTAAAACTCGACGAGAAAAAAAAACCGGAAACTGTAGATTGAAGCTAAATTCGCCACTGAATTTGAGCCTAGACCCTAAATTGAAGCTTCTAAATCCAGCGGTAGAAGTTAAATTTGACTGTAAACCCTAAAATGAACTAAATTAACATTGAGTTGAACTTGAAACTAAAACTGAGCCTAAATCTGAAATTTGAAACTAAAATAGACTTTGCAATTAAACCTCAAACGAACTAACCGGAAATAGAATGTGAAACTGAAACTGAGCTTAAAGCTGAAACTAAAACACTGAACTGTGTTCCAAAATTGAACCTAAAAATTACTGCAATGTTAAGCTCCAAACTACAAAATTAAATTGAAGCTGAAATTCAACGAGAAAAAACTGAGTTTTAATCTAAAAGTGAAACTGAATCAGAATTTTATTGTAAACTGAAACTATGAGCTGATTCTGAACAATTACTGAATTTCGTTCTGGACTTCAAACTGAATAGAGATTGAAAATGAACCTGAAACTGAAGCTGGTGAAGTTGAACCTGTAAATGACTATAGTGCAAAGTGGAAGTTAAACTCTAACTAAAACTGAGTTTGAAACTAGATACAGCTATAAGCTTTGAATTGAAACTTTGGCAGCACTTTGAAAATGCAACTGAGATTTACTATAAGCTCTAAACTAGCTTCAACTGGAACTAAATTTAATTCTAAACCGTGAACTATTATTTAAAACTGAGGCTAAATTTTCATCTGAACTGAATGTAATTTAGGTGTGAAATGAAACTTGAATGTTTCCTAGTTTTTTGACATTTTGACAAATTTGTGAACTAGGTTTGACCAACTCAAACTGCAAACCAAATAAAAAAAATCTTCAATGAACTGATTGAGAAAATCGTGGTTTTATGGGAAAATGTGACATAACCTAACCTCAACTTTTGGTACAAGCGCACTCTAGATTATCTCTCATGGTCATGGTGTTTGAGATTCGTGATATCATCGTAAACTTGGCCAATTGTAGTATTTTTGAGAATGTTATCTGGAAATATATCTCTGACAAGGTCGAATATGGGTATGTAGATCCGGTGTCCTTGAAACCTGCGGCTCCCACCGCTCTCGCTCCTGCGCGTCGCGTTTTCCGCGTTAAACAGTATATCTCATAACGTCAAAATGGAACCTCGCGCATTGGACGTTCATATATCCTAAGTCCGTCCAATCCAACCGGCGAGAACAGATTGTCGTAAAGCGAATTGGGAATGTTGATAAATTTTCCCTGCAACGAATGTGATTTACCTAGCGAAAATATCCACTCTAATTTTGAATTTCGAACAATAGTATACATATACACAACAGTCTTTTATGGAACTGGCCGAAACTTTGGCTTCTAGATAAATTTTATAAAATCGTCCGAAACATTCTACACACTAAAACTCGAAAAAACAACTGCTCGCAATCCACATAAAAAAAGCCTGCCGGGGCTCCCCCCGCCTACCGTCAACTAATAATAATTTATCACATTACATTGTAACACCGTCTCGTCTCATTCGCCGCGGCACTCCGCCATCGGCTCCATCTTGATGGTGGCCATCGAGTCCTTGGGCCTGGGTGTGGCGGCGTGCATGGGCTTGACCAGCTCGTCGATGTCCTCCTGGAAGAGATTCTCGGGGCGCGGGGAGGCGAAGCCCCGCGGCGGCTTGTACGCCATGCCCATGCCCACGTCCATGCTGATGGCCGGCTCCATGGAGCTGGAGACGGTGAGGCCGAGCGGCGACGAGATGGGGCTCTCGAGCGCCGACTCGGCGGGGCTGATCCGCAGGTCCTGGATGCTGCCGGCGGGGCTGCTCATGCTGCGCATGGAGCTGACGTGGGGCATGGTGACGGGGGCGGTGGCGCCGTTGCTGGCCATGGAGGTGACGCTGCCGCAGTGGCCGGCGAGCGCGAGAGAGTTGACGAGGCTGGCGACGGGGTTGGTGTCGTGGCCGGAGCTCTGGTGCTGCGCCGCCGCCACCATGCTGCACATCTGTTGGCGGAGGCCCTGCGCGACGGCCGCCACGGCGGCGGCGGCCGCGGCGCCGGGGGACACGTTCGGGTCGGACCCGTTGCTGCAGGAGTTGTTGGGGTAGCTGTGTATGCTGACGCCGTCCTGGAATTCAGTCATGGCGCGGTTAGTGGGATTCTTAATCCTGGACATAATTTGCTTTATTAAAAATGATTTGCGATTGTAAATGAAAAATCCGCATTAAATAAAATGTTGTAAATTTAAAAAGTATATGTAAAAGTTTCTAAAACTAAAGAATATTTTATAAGAATTCAATTTCCTGAACGGAAAATGGAAACAATCTTCGAGTGAAGATCTAGATCGAGATTAAAAAGAAAGCTAATGAAGGTGAATTTTATTAATCAGGACCGGTGAAGGCCTTATCAGGTCAAGCCATGTCAGGTTAAGCCATATCAGGTTAAGTCAGATCAGTCCACGTCAGGTTGGATAACTTAGGTTAGGTCAGGTCAGGTCAGGTCAGGTCAAGTCAGGTTAAGTCAAATCAAGTCAAGTCAGGTTAGGTCAAGTCAGGTCACGTCTGATCAGGCAAGGTTCGGTCTGGTCCGGTTTTGGTTTCTTGACTTCTCGACTTTTTATATTCCTATTTCTGGATTTCTCGACTTTTCGACGTCTTGATTTCCCGATGTTTTGGTTTCTCAGTTCTTCGATTCTTAAATTTTTCGATTTTTCTGATTTTTTATTTTTCAATTTCTCGACTGTTTTGATTTTCAATTTTCCGACTTTTCAGCTTTTGGATTGTTCGATGTTCCAGTTTTGGAATTTTTAAATTTTTGGATTTTTTAATTTTTCGTCAATATTTTAGGCTTTCGATTTGTCAATGTGTGAATTTTTCAATATTTCAGTTTTGGGATTTTTCAATTTTTGGGATTTATTAATTTTTATTTTTCAAATTTTAGATTTTTCCATTGCAATTTTTTCGAATTTTCGACATCTCGGTTAGATTTTTCAGTTTTTCGGTTTTTCAATTTTTCAGTTTTTACAATTTCTGATGTTTACATTTTTCAGTTTCTCAATTTCTCGATTTATCAACGTTTCGATTATTCATTTATTCAGTTTTTCGCTTTTGATTTTTCGATAAATCGAAAAGTTGAGAAGTTTGAATATCTGGATGTTTCAATTTTTCGATTTTTCAATTTTGGAATTTTTCAATTTCTCGATTCTTCAATTTTTCAATTTTTTTAAATTTTAGATTTTTCTATTTTTCGTTTTTTTATTTTTCTTTTTCTCCATTTTATAAATGTTACATTCCTCAATTTTTTAATTTTTAAATGTCAATTTTTCCAGTTTTCAAATTTTCGTTTTATCGACATCCCGCTGTTTGAAAATTTTTCGATTTTTTGATTTTTTTTTGACGATTTCATAAGTTTTGAATTGCTTTATTCATCCAGATTTCGATGTTTCGATTATTTTCCATTGTTCAATTTCCCGATTTTGCAATTCTTCAATTTTCCGATGTTTTTAGAACTAAAATTTCTAATTCAAATTTTAATTGTTCGCTTTTGAGCTAAATTTCTCGATTTTTTCTGTTGGTGTTTCAATTTTTCATTTTCTCGATGCTTCGATTTTTCAATTTCTCGTTTTTTTAAATTTTTTTGATTCTTAGGCTTTTCGATTTTCCGTTTTTTCAATTTTTCGATTTCCCACATATATATTTCAGATTCGGAATGTCTCAATTTCCCGATTTTTTAAATTTTATAATTTTCGAATTCTCGTTTTCTTGATTTTTGAATTTTTAAAATTTTACATTTTTCGATTTTACGATTTTTTTCCATTTCCCAATTATTCAATTTTTTAATGCAAACTTTTCGATTTTTCGAATTTTCGATTTCTCGATTTGTTAATTTTTAAACGTTTCAATCTTTATCGTTTCATGTTTCGATTTGTTAGTGTTTCAATTTTTCGAAGTTTGGATTTTTCGATTTCTCGCCAAAAAATAATTTTTTTCATTTTTTGGCTTTTCGATTTTCCAATTTTTCGTCATTTCAGAATCCGAATGTGTCAATTTCCGGTTTTTAAAATTCCATACTTTTCGATTTCTAGTTCTATTTGATTTTTAAATTTTTTAAATTTGACATTTTTTGATTTTCCGATTTCCCTATTTTTTAATGTCGATTTTCCGAATTTTCGATTTCTCGATATCTCGGTTTTTAAAATTTTTGACTTTTAGCATTCTGGATTTCTCGATTTGTTATGTTAATTTTTTAAACATTTCAATTTTGGGGATTTTTCCACTTCTGGGTTGTCAGTTTTTCGATTTCTTTAATTTTTGAATTTTTTGATGTTTCGATTGCGCCTGTTTTTTCAGGTTTTCGATTTTCCAAATTTTCAGGTCTTTTTCGATTTTAAAACGTATTGAGATCTTGATTTCTAGAATTATCAACATCTCGATATTTCAATGTTGGAATTTTAAAATTTTTCGATTTTTTAAATTTTATACTTTTCGATTTCTCGTATTTTTCATTTTTAATTTCTCCATTTTTAAAAAAATACATTTTTCGATTTTACGATTTTTCTTGTTCTCATTTCCTTATTTTTCATTTTTTAAATGTCAATTTTTCGAATTTTTGATCCTCGACATGTCGGTTTTTCGGTTTTTAAAATTTTTGACCTTTAGATTTTTGGATTTCTCGATTTGTTAATTTTTAAACATTTCCATTTTGGGTACTTTTCCATTTCTGGGTTTGTCAATTTTTTAAAATTTACATTTTTCGATTCTACGATTGTTTTATGTTTCCATTTGACTATTTTTCAATTTTTTAATGTTAATTTTTCGAGTTTTCGAATTTTCAATGTCTCGACATCGAGGATTTTCGGTTTTTAAAATTTTTGGCTTTTAGATTTTTGGATTTCCCGATTTGTTAATTTTTAAACCTTTCAATTTTGGGCCTTCTTTGAGTTCTAGGTTTGTCAATTTTTCGATTACTTTCATTTCAAAATTCTCAATTTTCCAAATTTTCGAGTCTTCTTCGATTTTAAAACGTAGTGATTTCTTGATTTCTAGATTTATCGATATTCCGATGTTTCAATGTTGGAATTTTTCAAATTTTTGATTTCCCAATTTTTCCTCATATCAGATTCGGAAAGTGTAAATTTTCAGATTTTTTAAATTTTAGACTTTTTGATTTCTTGTTTTTTTTTTGATTTTTAATTTCTCAATTTTTTAAATTTTACATTTTTCGATTTGACGATCTTTCTTGTTTTCATTTCCTTATTTTTAAATTTCGGATTTTCAATTTCTCGACATGTCGGTTTTTCGGTTTTTAAAATTTTCGACTTTTAGATTTATGGATTTTCTCGATTTGTTAATTTTTACACATTCCAATTTTGGGAATTTTTCAACTTCTGGATTTGTCAATTTTTCGATTTCTTTAATTTCAAAATTTTCAATTTCTTAATGTTTAGATGATGCTTTGATTTTTCGAATTTTCAATTTTTCGATTTTTAAAATGTGTTGATTTCCCGATTTCTAGATTTATCGACATTCCGACATTTCAATGTAGGAATTTTTCAATTTTTCGATTTCCCAATTTTTCGTCATGTCAACTTCCCGATATTTTAAATTTTACAGTTTTCGATTTTACGATTTTAGCTCAGGTCAGGTCAGGTCAGATCAGTACATTTCAGGTTGGATAAATCAGGTTACGTCAGATGAGGCCATGTCAAGTCAGGTCAGGGTGAGTCAAGTCAGGTCAGTCCATGTCAGGTCAGATTATAGTTTTTGAAAAAGTGGTCTAAAAATCTTCAAAAAATTCTGAAATATAGATCTCGACGTGATGATTCGAAAAATATAGCGTGTTTGTGATTTCTAATACCAATCTTCGAAATATTTGGCTTTCAATTCAATTTTTTTAAAGAAATCCTAAAAATTGCAATATTTCATTAGTAGGAGTTATCGAAGAAACGAAACCGGACGTAACTTCTAGAGGTCAAATTCACAAGAAAATGTGTTTAAGTAATTTTCGAAAATGGTCGAAAATGGGTCGAAATTTTCACGAGGGGATTTGAAATTTGAGATTTTGAAACAGTTACCAAAAAAATCTTTAAAAATTCTGACAAAAAAAAAACGAAAACGGAAACGAATGAAAACACAGACAAAGACTTGAACATGAAAAATGAAGAAACGAAGTAACAACGTGAATTTCATAAACTTTATATCATGTACAGAAAAAACATTTACGCGCATTAACACAAACAATAAACCCGATATATGTATTTATAATAGTTTACAATTATCGTCATCGATAATATAAATAAACCAGTAAGTTAATTATAACACAGCAAGTATTTTGATTACAAACGATGCGCCAAACCGCAGATTTTACAACAAACAATTATTTTGCTAGCGCACATATGTTTAATTTGAACAAATATTTGTCGTGATTTATTAAGTTCCGCTGCAACAGTTGTTTACGTTAACAGATGATAAATTTATCAGCGAAAAAAAAATGTTTGCAATTCATACGCAGATCAGTGAAGTGGCAAATTTCGATTTTTGTGAAAATTTTACTTATTTTATTCGATACGTACGTGTAATCGCGGGTAGCCAATATGAGGTTCTTCTTTGATTTGATGCGAGTCTCTAAACACTACTGCTCTTATAACGCCTCGTATATGCTCGTCCGGCCACACTCCTAGCAGAATCCTCTGAGGCCTTCCTCTTCCTTTCGGCCGTAAATCTGAAATCGAAAACACTTTAGCTAAAGCATCACAAAACACACACCAAAGCAAAATTTAATTTTTAAGTGCGTCTTCCCCGACTACCTGTTCCTGTTTAGTCTGGGCTTTTACCCAAAATCTAAAAAAAGCGATTTTTTTATAACTTCCTTTCAATAATTGAAACGGGAATGTCGTCAAACACTGTTAAAAATAGCAAGGGTATCTACCCCTATACATTTTTAAAGCGGACTTTTCCACTATAAATCATACAACTAAAAAGCGACGAGTAAAAAGTGTATTTCTTTAGATTAGCTCGATGTAAGGAGGAGCAGCGACACGAAAACGCAATCGAGACGATTGCCTTAAGAGATCAATTCCGTTCATACGAGTTGAATTTTTTAGGGAGTAAACGCTTCCGTTTGCAAGCAGTAATTAGGAAACTGAATGTCTGCACATCCGTAATTAGTATCGACTTGAACGCTCTAATAGAGTTTGGGTATGGGTTTTCGCAACGCTCTCACGGAATTTACTGAATAACAGAACTGTTGTGGCGGTTAAGAGGGCTGCGAAACTCACAAATACAGAAATTGGGTTGCTAATACAGCTATTCAGATGTAGGTGGCGCTCAAATTTCAAAGTCCACCATTTATTTTTTAAGCAAATGATTTGATAAAGACAAGAGATGATGATGTGGCGATTAAACTAAAAGAACACAATTCAAAAACAAAACTGGGACTTTGGCGAAATTTCGGAAAGAAAAACTGCGACGCCAGGATAAATAAGAAAAAACGAAAAAATTGTAAATATTCTAGAGAAAACAATAATAGGACACTTACGTGGCAGTCGAATCAACAAATCAGTACCTATGAATAAAAAATTAAATAAATATCAAAACTCAGAACTAGGAAAAAAACATAAACAAAGACAAGGGAGATATTGGTATGTTCAAGACAAAAAGTATGTTAAAAAAATTATATTATCTACGAATCTACGTATGGAATGAAACAACAACATCAAACAATGAAGAGAAAAAATAAGAACAAAAAGAGCATGATAAGGAAGAGTCAAAGAAATAATTTAACTCGACAACTCTGAATTTACGACAAACTACGATTAACTTTAAGGATTCTGGAAATGGAATACCAAAATCAATTATACTGGGTGTCTGGAAAATGGCGGATTAAATCTCCGTTACGCTCTTAACAATCAACTGGTGCGTCTGGGAAAAATAGTAAGAATTCCTTCTCACATTTTGGTTCTTTTGGTACGTTTAACAACTAAATATTCATTATCACAATAACTAGTAATAAAACATTTAGTTAATATTTTGCTCGCCCATGACCATCTTCAATTACCATTTCAGTTAGAATGTGCAAAGATATGGTTGTGTTGTTTTTGTAATAATTTGTCAAAATTCCATTTGACAACAATGTTTGTCTGATATAAAGGTACAAATCAGCAAAAATTGAGCAGCTAAAAAATTTGACGTTTCAAAAATTGTCAAAAGTTTTCAAAACTCTATGTTCAACAGTTCGCAATTAATTTTAGTTTGTTTTATTTTTGGACTAAATTTAAAGGAATCTAGTGTTTTGTTGCTGGATAAACGAGAAAAAAAAATGTTTTGAACTTGTAGCTGCTACGATAAGAGTGATTTTGGCAAGTGAGCTACCCTCCAAGAATAAACAGGGTGGGTGGGTGGGGCTAGTAGCTGCTAAGATAAGACTGATTCTGGCAAATCATATATCCTTTAAGAAAATAGAGGGTGGGTGGGCGGGGCTAGTAACTTCCAAGATAAGACTGATTTTGGCAAATGAGATAATTTCTAAGAAACGACAGGGTGGGTGGGTGGGGTTAGCGGCTGCTAAGATAAGACTGATTTTGGCAAATGAGTTATCTTCTAAGAAGCGAAAAGGTGGGTGGGTGGGACTAGTAGCTGCTAAAATAACACTGATTTTGGCAAATGAGATACCCTCTAAGAAAGAGAGTGTGAGAATATTGTGTTTGTAAGGTATTTTCAGTTCTATTTGACCAACTGAGTGCTGCGCCATTTTTGAATCAATGTCTTTTATTTTTTATTTCATCGGACTCAAATGAAATAAATCAATAATCAAAATTATTTATTACTAAAAAAATACAAAATTAATAAATTTGATAATTAAAAAAAGCTAACCATTAAAAGTAACATGAATTGTGGAATCTGTTTTCCCAATTATTTCATCCGGAATATTACAGTTTGTTGTCATTTTGTCCCGGAAAATTCAACAAAACAAACAATAGAAACAGTAACCTTAGAGACTAGCGTTTCATAGATGATCACATTTTCAATTAAAAAAAATATATTTTTTTTTCAAATTTAAACAATAAACTCGAAATAAAACTCATTCGACGTCCGGTAAACAGTAACTTGTAAAAAATGAGTTTACCGGACTTATAACGTAAATTACTATTACGAATTTGAAAAAGTATTGAGTGCCGCAGTGTTTTTTTTTTAATTCGGGAGACTTGGGTACCCATGGTGTATTATTTTGGGAATCCATGGAGTTTTTTTAATGGTTTTTTAAATTATTTAAAAGAACTATGATCTAACCTGTTTTGAGTTAATTGTGGTACCCCGTTTTTTTTGCTTCTTGCTGGGAAAGGATTTGAAAGTGCCTTGGAGCTTCTAGTGTCTTATCATATAATAATTTAATCAAATTTCTTAGAGGATACGTCATTTACTAAAATCAGTCTTATCGTAGCAGGAACTAGCTACGCCCACCCACTCTCTCTTTTCTTAGACGGTATATCATTAGTGAAAAACGCTTTTATCTTAGCAGGTACTAGCCGGGTGGGCGGAGCTAGTGCTTTCCACGATAAGGCTGTGACTGTCAAACGGCATACTCTCGAAGAAAATAAAGGGTGGATGGGCGGGGTCAATATTTGCCAGGATAAGACTGACTCGTCAGCTATTAGTCCCGTCCACCCACCCTCTCTTTTCTTCGAGGTCTGTCATCTGCCAAAATCAGTCTTATCTTAGCAGCTACTAGCCCCGCCCGCCCACCCTCTCTTTTCTTCGAGGATATGTCATTTGGCCAAATCGTCTTATCTTAGCAAGCTTTACTTCCCAGGATAAGACTGATTTTGCCAATTTATATAATCTCTAAAGAAATAAAGGGTGGGTGGGCGGCACTAGTAGCTGCTAAGATAAGACTGATTTTGGCAAATCATATATCCTTTAAGAAAATATAGGGTGGGTGGGCGGGGCTAGCAACTGCCAAGATAAGACTGATTTTGGCAAATGAGATACCTTCTAAGAAACGCCAGGATGGGTGGGTGGGGTTAGTGGCTGCTAAGATAAGACTTAAGACCTTCTAAGGAAGAGAGTGTGAAAATATTGGGTTTTTAAGGTATTTTCAGTTTTATTTGGGCAACTGAGTGCTGCGTCATTTTTGAAGACGTTTCATCAATGTGTTTTATTTTTTATTTCATCGGAGTCAAATGAAATAAATCAATAATCAAAATTATTATTTATTACTAAAAAAATACAAAATTAATAAATTTGATAATTAAAAAAAGCTAAACATTAAAAGTAACATGAACTGTGGAATCTGGATTCCCAATTTTTTGATCCAGAATATTACAGTTTGTTGTCATTTTGTTTCGGAAAATTCAGCAAAACAAACGAAAACAGTAACCTTAGAGACTAGCATTTCATGGATGGTCATATTTTCAATAAAAAAAATATTTTTTTTTCAAATTTAAACAATGAAGTTGAAATAAAACTCATTCCGACGTCCGGTAACCTGTTACAATAACTTGTAAAAAATGACTTTACCGTAAATTACTATTACGAATTTGAAAATGTCTTGAGTGCCACAGTGTTTTTTTTTTAATTCGGGAGACTTGGGTACCCATGGTGCATTATTTTGGGAACCCATGGATTTTTTTTAATGGGTTTTTGAATTATTTAAAAGAGATTTAGGAGACTTTGGTGTTCTATTTTTGGAAAATTCTAATCTAACAACCTGTTTTTGAGTTAATTTTGGCACCTCGTTTTTTTTGCTTCCTGCTTGGAAAGGATTTGAAACTCCCTGGAGTCTCTAGTGTCTTATCTTATAATAATTTAATTAAATGTCTTTGAGGATACGTCATTTGCTAAAATTAGTCCCACCCACCCTCTCTTTTCTTAGAGGGTATATTATTTGCCAAAATCACTCTTATCTTAGCAGGTACAAGCCCTCTAAGAAAATGAAGGCTCTTCATTTTCTTGGAGGGCCTGTCATCTGCCAAAATCAGTTTTATCGTAGCAGGTACTAGCCCCACCCACCCACCGTTATTTTTCTGAGAAGGTACCTCATTTGCCAAAATCAGTCTTATCTCGGCAGTTACTACTCCCGCCCACCCACCCTCTTGTTTCTTAGAAGGTATGCCAGCTGCCAAAATTACTTTTATCTTAGCAGGTACTAGTCCCGCCCGCCCACCCTCTCGTTTCTTCGAGGGTCTGTCATCTGCCAAAATCGATAATATTTTAACAGCTACTAGCCCCGCCCACCCACCCTTATTTTTCTTAGAGGGTATCTCATTTGCCAAAATAAGGCTTATCTCGGCAGGTACTAGCCCCGCCAACCCACCCTCTCGTTCCTTTGAGGTTATGCCATTTGGCCAAATCGTCTTATCTTAACGAGTTTTATTTCCCAGGATAAGACTGATTTTGCCCAATGATATAATCTCTACAGAAATAAAGGGTGGGTGGGCGGGGCTAGTACTTGCTAAGATAAGACTGATTTGGCAAATGAAATACCTTCTAAGGAAAATGAGGGCGGTTGGGCGGATTAGCTAGTACTTGTTAAGATAAGTCTGATTTTAGGGAATAAGAACATAAACGGCGGATTGCGAGGCTAATATTTGCTAAGATAAGATTCATTTTGGCAAATAATATACCTTCTAAGAAAATAGAGGGTGGGTGGGCGGGGCTAATACGTGCTATGGTAAGACTCATTTTGGTAAATAATATGCCTTCTAAGAAAAGAGAGGGTGGGTGGGCGGGGTTAATATTAGCTAAGATGAGACTGATTTTAGCAAATGATATACCCTCTTAGAAAATAGCGGGGGGTGGGCGGAGCTAGTACCTGCTAAAATCAGTTTGATCTTAGCAGCTACTAGTCCCACCCACCCACGCCCTATTTTCTTGATAGGTATCTCATTTGCCAAATCGGTCTTATTTTAGCAGGTACTAGCTCCACCCACCCTCCCTCTCTTTTCTTAGAGGGTATGTCATTTGGCAAAATCGTCTTATCTTAACAAGCTTTACTTCCTAAGATAAGACTGATTTTGACAAATGATATAATCTCTAAAGAAATAAAGGGTGGGTGGGTGGGGCTAGTACTTGCTAAGATAAGACTGCTTTTTGCAAAGGTCCTACTCTTTAAGAAAATAAAGGGCGGGTGGGCTAGTACTTGCCAAAATAAGACTGATTTTGCCAAATAATATACCCTCTACCTTTCATTTTCTTAGAGGATATGTCATTTGACAAAATCACTTTTATCTTAGCAAGTACTAGCCCCGCCCACCCATCCTCTATTTTCTTAGAAGGTATGTCATTTGCCAAAATCAGTTTTATCTTAGCAGGTACTAGCCCCGCCCACCCACCCTCTCTTTTCTTCAAGGGTATGTCATCTGCCAACATCAGTTTTATCTTAGCAAGTACTTATGACTTAACTTCTAGAAAAAAATGATTAAAATTTGGAAATATTACGAGTTTACCTATATCTACAAGGCGGAAATTTTGAACATCTCAAGTATTTAGTTGGTTATGCTTTAATGGATTTTTCTTTTGTTGGTTTTGTTGTTGTTGTTTATAATTTATAAATGTCTTATTAATTTTTTTTTTGGTTAATCCGCCAATTTGTCCAGACACCCGGTATGTTCTCATTGGAAGCTATGCACTAAATTTTCACCTATTTAAAAGTAAAACAGCGTTTTTTCAAGGAATTTTCAGTTCTATTTAGATAACTGAGTGCTGCGCCATTTTTGAAGACGCTTTATCCATGTATTCCATGTTTCAATGAATTGCCTAGTTAGACTAATTTTCCACAACCACATCATGAGACACCCTGTATACAAAGGAGTCTTAACCTATTTCCGGAAATTTTCTGACATTATAATTTTTATTATATAATTATAATTTAGTTGTATATTGTATCATTATCGTTTTGCTGGTTATTAAACAATAAATCAAATTATGAAAGAGACGAATATCGAGGTTGAATGTCAGAAAAAAAGAAAGTGTTGTCCGGTGTTGCGCAAGGAGCAAACGTCACCCACTGCTATTTCACGGATACATGAATGACATTTGGAAACCTGTGCTGCGGACGTTAATCGCTCAAAATTGCTTTACAAGATAAGATTTATGACTGCTAAATAGTGGTTTGAATTTTATAGCAGTATTATTTATAGTCGTATTGGTGGCACTAAATCTAATTTCTAAGTTTCTAAACAAACATTATAGATATGAAGATAATAAAACTATCATTATCTTAATATTTATAACGTAAAAATTCGCCCAGCGCCATCTACCCGCGAATAGCAAGTTCGAACCTATAAAATTATTATACCTAAGCGACCGTTACCTGATCCGCCATCCGCCGAAGGTCCCAACATATTGTGCACTCGATTTGCGTACAGAACGAACGTAGGATAAGGTATATCGTATTTCCTGGCGGCCTGCGACAAGGACAACCCTTCCTTCAGCACCGAGAAAATTGCCTCGGCCATGGTCTCGGGTCGCCAAGACTTCAATGGCCCTCTTTCACGGAAGCGCAGATTGTGTACAAGACTTTGATTCGTATTCCAACATTTTTGCCACATGGATTGCAACTGGTACTGGTAGCTGTCTGCTGGAAGAAAAAGAAAAAAATATCGATATTAGTATACTGGTGAGCAAAAGAGGACAAGATTTACAAAAATGGAACAAACGGCCAGACTGGACAGTCAATCAAAATGTATGTTTTTTTCTGAAGTTGTAGTCAACTGTGAACCAGTTTTTTTTTTGAAGAGTGATATTGTGGATGGAGCGTCCAGTCTGGGGAGCAATATATATCGAAAAAAAAAATGTTTAATGGTTTAAATAAAGTAGAAAAATATTACCATTTGATGGGTACCTGGAACATAAGAGTAATTACACATGAGTGGTATGTTTCAAGAAAATTTGGAAACGTAGAAGGCTACTTTTTGTTTTTAGTATCTCGAGAAATGGTTACCTGTGTGAAAATTAACGGCTACTTTTATCGGCTTTTGTTATTTTAATATAGCAAAGAAGCGGTGAAAGACGAAGAACACTGAAAAAAAATCTTTTTAGTCCTCTTGTGTTTTTTTTTCTTCTATTTCCTCTTGGTCTTCTGGTTTTCTTATTGTTTAACTAACATACCTACATGATCGCACTTAGAGTGGAAATACTATGGGAAGATTATAACAGTGACGTCTGGAATGCGTTTTATTCCCATAGTATTTCCACTCTACTTAATTTTCTGATATACCTGAAGTTGGAAAGGAGACGGGCGAAAGAAAACCAAAATTTATAAATTCTCTTTTTATTTATTCAAAAATGGGGAAAAGGACTGAACTAAAAAAAAATAAAGAAAACTGACGACTTTGTACTTTACGAATCGGTGAAATGCGGTCATGACGTCATGCGCGTCTTAATATAAAGCCTCCTAAATTTAAAATGCAATTTTCTCCATTCTGTTAGTGAAGGAAAAATTTGTTGTTTTTGTAGCGAAGCTCAGGCCCGAAAGTTCAGTGCGCAGCGAAAACAATAAAACGACGTCGGAAAGCAATAAGAGAAGCTCTTCCAGCGTGAAAAACAAAAATCGCGAAATGATTGTTTACATTCTCGAAACAATTATTATAAATGAGCGTTTTATGTGGTAATGAAACTGAAATAATTTTATTAATTTTGATTCCCACTACATCACCTACACAACACGACTGTAATTTGCGTAACTTTGTGCTGTTTAAATTGCGAAATAAAAATGGCACGTATTTAATATTAATTTGCGCCCGAAATGAAAGCTTTGAAGTCGAAAGATCCAGCTTTTCACTAATTTAGCTTATTCGAAACAATTTCAACCTTTCGCATTTAAATAAATATTTCAGGCTTGAGTTCCATCACAATACGAAATACTTTTGTGGCCGACATTACTCACGTCCGCGACTCATTTCATTGTTTTATTATCTTAATTGGGTTTTTTATTAAAATTTGCCATTTAATTGAACTAATTGGAAAAGATTAAATAAATTACTGCAATTGCGGTTAATAATTGTTTATTAGGAATATAATGCGCAAGTTTGGGTCAAAATAAAATCATTCTGGATGCGGCTGAAGACTTACATTATTGCTAAAGTTACTAAACTACTTTAAATAAATTTAAATAGGAGCAGCTGCCACTAGGAGACGACTTATGCGAAAAATAAGTTATATACATAAAGTAAACTAAACTAACAATATCGCGTGTAATCAGTTGCATAAATATTTAACGTGAACCATTTCTCGGTCCAAAGTATTCAGTTTTAGTTTTATTTTATATATACATGCACTTCGGACACGGTCGACTCACTTCGTGTTTTGCGCAGACTCGCTGCGCACAAATTCAAATTTTCCCGCCAAAAGATTAAATAAATTCCTCAGTACGATTGATCATGATTTATTAGAAAGATAACGCGCAAGTGTAAAATAAAAATTTTGGATGCGGTCGACGACTTAAATTATTGCTAAAATAACTAAACTAGGAAGCAAGTTTAACTAAAATTAAATAGGAGCAGCTGCCACTAGAAGACGACTTAACAATGATCGATGCCGGGAATAAGTTATTATAAAAATAAAGTACAACTAAACTAATAATGAAACACAATATCGCATGTTGAATATAATAATATAACACGCATGGTATAATAGCCATGTAATTAGTTGCATAAATATAGCTCACTTGAACGCAAACATCGTATCATTAATAACAAAGTAACGTTAATAGAGGATGCAATGTACAAAATAAACCTAACGAGTAATGATAATAATATAGGAATGGAGGAAGCACAGGGAATGTAGAATTACATACGTTTTTAATCCTAACGATACAACCTTCGTAAAATATGTCACAAATCAACCGACTCTTCCAAATTCAACGAGTTACAAAAATAATTGCTTAAGGGTATTGCTGCGTTATTCTTAACCCTAAAATATCGGCGGCAGTGTCCATCTATCACAATCTCAAATCGTGTTGTTCATAATATTCATCGAGCCGTTATTCTCGTAGTACAGAGAGACGATATTGTGCTTCTTGCAGAACGCCCACCACCACCGGAAGCCCGACAACCCTGTGAACATGAACTCCGGGTCCCTAGTGCGCCGCAATTTCTCCACGAAGTAGAGTACCGACTGGAGCGACTTCTTCGTCCGCCGGTTGTACGGAGACAGCGACACGTCGCAGCAGAACTCCAGCACGGCGGCCTCCTCGGAGGGCGTGAGTCCGGCCTCCTCCAGCACGGCCATGCGCTTGGACTTGCCGAGGATGTTGTCGTAGAGCGTCCCCTTGGGGATTCCGTACCGCGCTGAAGCCTGCGTGAAGCGCATTTTTTGTTTCACGACGGCTTCGATGGCCTCTTTGAGCTGGTCTTGCGTCCACGTGGGGGTTTTTAGTTTTAGTAATGTCGGGAAATCTGAGCAAAACAAACGTGCGGGTTAGAGTCATGCGCGCAGCGTCGGGTGAGAACTAGACCGGGCGAGGGACGATAGAGGCGAGAGTCCCTCGGCCGGTGGCTGGTTCGTGCAGCGAGGCAGTTCTCAAGCGACGACGTACGGGGTAAGCCAAGGCCGTGTTGCGAAACGCCGTAACGAGCGGATTTAATTTATGGGGAGTAAATCATTGGTCTGAGTTGTCGTTTAGTGCGACGTTGAGTAATACATGTTGGGATTTTATACTTGCTATAAAAATGGAGCTGGAATTATTATTATTATTACAACTAATATGGCAGGACGGAGGTTTTGCGCAAGTGGACGGTTTATGGAGGTTCGAATATGGAATGTCGAGCTACTAAGTGGGCTGCGCGTTTGCCTAAAAAAGGTCTAGCGGCGATAAATAAGGCTCGGATGAAAGAATTGCGAATAAATGGACGTTTCGTAAACGTAATCGTTATCGTGGAGTCGTGACTGGAGCGCCATTTAACTAACAATTCAGACATATAAATTAAGAGTAACTCTAATTAATACTAAAGGATTTTTTACTGCAGTAATAGCAGGTTGTGTCAGTAGGAGTAAAAGTAATATTTCATGTGGCAATCCAGGCACATAAAAACACAGTTTATTTTCGCGATAAAATTAAATAAAAATGGTCAAATAAAGCAAACCAGGTTAGTTTGTTATTATGGATATTCGCATTGTTATTAATATTCATATTCTCACAACTAATTGAATTCAAGACGTTTGTTTCGGTGAAACTTTAACGAAACTTTGTCGAAATCTGACAATACCGTGGATTTTCGAATGGTGCGACAAAAAAATTGAGTAATGATATACACATCAAAAGTGTATTGTTACCAAGTTTCTCGGAAACAGGGACGAAAATTAACACCTCAACATGTAGTCATATTGTTTTCTCCAAAAAAACTCCCTAGTGTCTTAATATTACAATTTTACTTTCAAGCTTAAACAAAAAATAAAACTTACGTTAGCAATCAAGTCATAAAAGTACAAAAATTTTGCTGAAACCGGCATTAAAGTGGCACTTTATTCTATGTTTTTGACTATAGCTTTGTTGCTAGGTCTCGTAACCTTTTAGAGTCCATTTTCCTTAAAATAATCACCACTATCATATTAATTAAATTAGTTAAATTGAAATTAAAACCAGAAAAAATTGATCACTCTTATTTTCTGGCTGTGAAGATTTCTTACTTCATGAATATTATGACTGAATAAATATAAAAAAAAAAAAAATCGAACGTTCACATGAATAACACAAATATAAATACCTAAATTACAGATTTTTTATAGACAAAAGTGGAGAATATATACAGGGTGGATTATAAAAATGACCCAGGTGATCAGGCTATGGCGGGTGAGATGAGACTTAATTGGTTCATTAATTTTTACAACATATCGATTTATTTGCAAATGTGCTAATGAGACTGCATTATCAGTAAAACATATTAAGAATGCGAGCGCAGCGAGCACGTTTAGGTGTTATTTAAAATTACTCGTCAGTGCCCTTGAGAAGCTAAATTATTAATGAGATAATTTTTCTTGTCTAAAAAAAATGGTGAATACTAAAAATGTTTGTGATTATCTGCTGAAATTGGGAAGACTCCTGCACTCTTAAAAAAATTATTCGTTGGTGTCCCCGGGAAGCTAAATTATCATAAATCAAAATTTTTTTGTCTAAAAAACTGAATTTTAAAAATGTTTGCTTATTTAATGTAATAAGACTAGATTATTATTACTACAAAACCTAGGCAGCCTCGATGAGATTCTTTTATAATCACTTCTATGAGTATTATAGACTACAAAAAAGTGAATCTTAAAGACAATTCTGATTACTCAAGTTGAGGAGACCTATAGTCTACAGTCTATCTACCTGTACAAACGGTATCTACTTGTGTCATTTTTGTGAACTTAGAATTTGTATATGATTTCTGGTACTAACAAAAGTGATTATAGCTATGCAGCAACAACCATAAATTTTCAAAACCTTTTTTTCGACTAAACCAAATAGATACTGACCATATTTTTTTTAATTAGTATTTTCTTATCATTTGTCACATTTCTTCTTCAAACAAACACCACTCCAATCAGTGTTTCTGATCCGCTTTTCGCAGAATCACCATTTATAATAAACTAGATCATGAT